TGTTAGGTTAATGGTTGGACTCAATGATCTTAAAGGGCTTTTCCAACCTAAACGATTCTATGATTCTATTATTCTAAATAAGGTAACAGAACTGGGCGAACCACAGAGCAAAATACAACTGCAAATTTCCCTAAATTTGTTTTTTGGCATAGATGAAAACAATGGTTGATGGGGTTTTTAAAGATATTGAGACGGTGCTTGTATTAAGAGAAGGTTGGAAAATACAGAGCTAAAGCGTGTCGATACTTCAGAGAGATGAAAAGTCAGCTGTCATGATGCTGTTTCTGCCACCATATAGATCCACAAGTGAGAAAGCCTCAAGAGATAAAGCCTTACTTAAATTCATGTTTTTTTCTTTAATTCTCCCTCTCTTCTAGTTGTGACTCTGTGTTGTACAACTGAGTCTGTGAAACCACTGCCTCCATTCCCTCAAACACTGGTAGGTGAAAACGTTTGAGTACCTGGCTACAGGGAAAAAATCTGGCATCCAGGTGGTAGGGAAAGCTGTGGGATGGGATGGAGAATTGTAAACAGCCACTCACTGGAAGCTGGCGTAGACCTCTAATCTGCAGTGCAGCTTCAGCACCCTTGTGTCCACCAGCATGTCAGAGGGAAGGACTCATCTCCCTCCTCCACGTGGCAAACTGGGAAAGTCTCAGCCACATTCAGTTCACTTTAACATGCTGGTGGCAGTACTGGCTACAGCCCTTGTAGGTATGTCTTTTACTTTATACACTTATTTCCAGTTGGATCAGGGAATGCCATCAAAATTAGCTCTCTAGTGTGGGGGAGGTCCCCATTCCTAGGGATGCCAAAAACTCCCCTCCACCACCCTCCCCAGTGAAAATGGCACTCACAGTACTTGGAGAAAACTTTGTAACTGAAGATATGAACAAATATACCTAATTTGCCTGAGTGAGAAATGGTGGATGAACTTCATTTATCTCTGGCAAGTCCCAAGTTGTGATCCTCTGGGGTTGGGTCAGGAGTACAGATGCCTGTTTAGGAACGTCTGTTTAGCCCAACTTTATAGAGGCAGCCTCTGAGTTAATGAATTGGGAAGTGCATCTGAGCTCTTCATGTGCTCTTGCCTATATCTTGACTTTATGTCAGACAGAAACCCAAGAGCATGGTGTCTCACCAGCGCTGACTGGCCTTACTCTCCATCTGAGAAAGGCAGGCTTTCACAGACCCAGGGAGATAAACAGGACACCAGGATGCCAAAAAGTACTACCCATGCTTGATTCAGCCTGAGTCCTCTAGCACAGCAGTTGCTTGATGAAGATCAACAGCTGGCAGGGTTAAGAATAAAAGTAAACTGGAAGATCTGCTTCTATGCTTATTTCCTCAGTCTCCTCCTGTACAAATACAAGGGCAATAGTGGTATCTTTGACCTTAGTTTTACTGCCCAGCTTAATTATTGAGGTTTGTAGGCGGGAAGGAGGTAACAATGACAGGAGAATAAAAGAGGCTTAAGTTATGATGGTTTTATCTCTTAAAAAAAGGACTTACAGTATGGTCTGATGGTGTCTTCACACATCATTACACAGCCTCCTCCAAATTAAACCAGATTGGGTTTCAAATCATGGGATTTTTAAATCTGTATTTTCTGCTTTATTTTAATTTGTCTTCTGTTCTGTCTCTTTAGAATACAGTCTGGGTCTATTTCCTAGCTTCTCTCTGTTGATCAGAAAGTAACTTTAGAAAGAAAAAAGCTGGAATTTTTGTGTATACAGTTGACATGAACAGCAAGAGCTTTCAGAAACACATAGATTATCAAGAGACAGAAGGTAAAATCACAAAAGCCGTAAAATGGAGCTTTAAGAAAAATAATAATAAAGCCTTGGAAAGAAGCTATGAACAAAGAAGCTTTTGACATTTTTTCTGATAATGAGATTTGAAAGTAACAGCATTGTGAACACACAGCAGCGTAATTAGTTTTGAATACTGTGGTCTGTTTTGCCTGGCTTCCATCAGGAGATGCTTTGTCTATCTGGAGAGATCATCAGTCATGCAAATCTGCTGCTGAACATACTGGCTTCTGCTAGGCCTTTATGATTTATTTTTATTATCTGCTTTAGTTCAGAGAAGGTATTTTGAAAAGGAAATTTAAAAAGCAAGGACACGACAGTATTCAGATGGGTACTTCTAAACCAGGTTCATTAAATGAAGATATGATGACTAACACATCTGGTTAGAACAACTTGACTTAATTTTCCCAAGCCATATGATATAATTAGGTTAAGAAGGCTAATACTGACTTCCCATGGTGAGGAACAGTCTAAATTTAGTCACAGAGCTATTTCTATAAGCTCTCCGCACATTTTTACTTTGCCCTTTCATCTACTCAGTTTGATCATCACGTACCCCCAAGCCTTCCTTCTGCCTACCTCTCAGTTCACGTCCCTCGCCTCTCCAGCCTCTGCAAGTCTTCCTCCCTTGCTTTCTTCCCAGCTGACCAGGGGCATTACTTTTGCATATAGGCAAAACTGACCAGAGGCGTGACTTTTGCATGCTTACATCCTGCACCTCTGGTGCCTCTGTCCCTTGCATCAGTTCAGTATTGTACCTCTAGTCCCCCACAGGGACCCGATTCCTAAAGAGCGATGCCATTACAAAGAATAGCGGGCGCGAAGGTCCCTTCATGGGAACCAGCGGGCAGTTCCCCTGTGCTTTGATAACAGCAGGAAGCAGGAGTTTCCTTCCTGAGAAACATTTTCCCCTCTGCTGGTGCCTGGCATCCACTGTCTTTGCAGTGGAAAATGGTTCATGTAGGTGAGACCAATACTGCAGTAGATCAGAGAGAACTCCACTGAGTGCACACTCATATCTTCTCATGATTATGTGTTGGCCAAGTTTTATGGAAGCTGAAGTGATCCAGCACATGCTTCCAGCAGTGCGGTAGGGGTGCAGTTCTGCAGATAGTAACTGTTCCCCATATACACATTGCAGCTGAATCTCAGATTGCCACCTACGTCTCTCTCTAGATGACAGTGGCACAGTCATCAGTATGAAAACCACAGTAATATCACTGCCAGCATAAAGGAAATAATGAGACCTACTCAGTTACTATTAGGAAATGCTCTGGGGCTTTCAGCCAGTGCTGGAAATGGAAAGCTGTATATATGGACACAAATCAGAACATTAATCTGTACCGGGTTACAGATGAAGTCCATCCAGAATATTGCAACAGACAAATACACATCCAGCAGTGAAACCCAAAGGGATACAAATCTGATGTGCTCATCTTTGGCTAGTTCTTTTCCCTGGCAGGTTGGAAGAAGCAAAAGTCATTTCTATAATAATTCTTTGTACCATTTACTTTGGCCAATGCTTTGCAATTTCTTCTGTTCACACAAAAAGATGAAAGCTCCATCAGAGGATGACACTCGGATCATTCCACAAGCAAAACACAGGAAATTAAGAAAGAACAATGTAATCTCCAAAAATTACCAAGTCCAAATGTTAGAGGTGGACATCAGCTCATAAATACATTTACTGAATATCAGCTTGCTCTAACATCATTAGATGTTTTAAAGACAAAACAGTTTAATCTCTGTATTATAATTTTCTCCATCAGAAAAACAACTGCAACTGCAGTTTGACAACTGCAGGCAACTCTAGTTCTGTCATTATTCTACAAAGCAAACAGGCAATTCTAAGACTTGAATCCTGCCTAACACAAGCCCTCAAGCTATAAGCTCATTTCCACCGAAGTCAGATATGACCAACAGGAACCACACTTACTGGGTTCAAGTGGTAGTACTTGATGAGTAATGGACCTACTTCTAGTCAAATGAAGAGGACTCTGCTGTGAGTGAGTCCTTTAAAGAATGAGTATCTCCACTGGAGCTTATTGAAATTAGATTGAGACTTTGTGTGTTTGCAGGAAGAAATCATGTGTGTCTTCTGGCTCAGTGGACTTAATCAGGCATTCACTTGGCTCTTTGGTTTCTCCTTGTTGAAATTAATTAAAGAAATGTCAATAAAGAGAAAACAAACAAACATACAATGCCTTGGTCACTTGGACTTGATTTAAAGGAATCACAGCCTCCTTCAGGACACTTGGCATTCTTCCCTAGCATTGCATTACAGTGGTTTTCAATAATAAATAGGTGGCATTTGGAGCCTTTTCTCCTAAGTCTTTCTTATTTTCCCTCATCCTTTGCTGTCAGTGTTTCAAGTGTAGTTTTCTCTGCTCTTAAAGAATTGTGATGTCTAGATTTTCTCAGTTATGACATTTCCCTGATTTCTAAATTCATTTCAGTGCCTTAATTTTAGATGCTCTTTTGCCCATGATTTGAATGATGTCACCTAACTTTAATGCCAGCCTTCTCATCCAAGTCATTTATGTAGCACTCCTCAACAATCAGTGACAAGAGGCAGACACTTCTGTAGGATGACATATTTCACATGAAGACACAAGTCAAAGCTAGGTAAAATTAATCCCATAGTTACATACCTATACTTGTTTAACTCTGCACAGGGAAAGGTAGGCACCAAGGAGTGGGATTCCTTATATCCAACATGCTTAGCAGAGAAATGTCAATAAAACATGGTAAGGAAAGGGAATGATTTAGAATTAGCATAGCTTTTTGCTTTCAGTGGTTAGTAGTAACAATTGACTAATGCTTGTTGTGCTTCATGGTAACATTACTATTGATCAAAAGCCATTCAAAAAACAAAAGTTATTTTATAATACTCTGATGGGTTTTTTTTGATACAACTGGACATCATTGCATGTAGTTATAGTAAAACATAATTTGGTCATGTGGAGAACAGTATCTGGGCTGTGCTTCTAAATGGATGAGGAAAAAGCTGCTTGTATGTGCCCATCTTCTAAGCTTTGATTAATTTGACTAATATCATTATACATGTTGAAGATATAAGTGATCATGTACATGTGCTATTTCTTACTGTACCCTGTTGTCCTGGTTTTGGCTGGGATAGAGTTAATTTTCTTTCTAGTAACTGCTATAGTTTTATGTTTTGGATTTAGTATGAGAATGTTGATAACACAACATTATGTTTTCAGTTGTTGCTAAGTCGTGTTTATACGAAGTCAAGGATCTTTCAGCTTCTCATGCGCAGCCAGCAAGAAGGCTGGAGGGGCACAAGAAATTGGGAGGGGACACAGCCAGGACAGCTGACCCAAACTGGCCAAAAGGATATTCCATACCATATGATGTCATGCCCAGTATATAAACTGGGGGGAGCTGGCTGGGGGTGAGGGGTGGATTGCTGCTGGGGAACTACCTGGGCATCGGTCAGCGAGTGGTGAGCAATTGCATTGTGCATCACTTGTCTTCTTGGGTTATATTTCACTCTCTTTTTGTTATCTTCCTTTTCATTACTACTATTATTATTTCTTTTTTATTTCAGTTATTAAAATGTTCTTATGTCAACCCACAAGTTTTACTTGTTTTCGATTCTCCTCCCCATCCCACCAGGAAGGGCAGGGAGGAGTGAGTAAGCAGCTGCGTGGTGCTTAGTTGCTGGCTGGGGTTAAACCATGACACCTGTGCTGCATCTCCTTACCATTTTATTTCCTCTGTCTTCAAAAGCAGAAGCATAGAAGCCTGCCTCAGGTGCTATCATCAGACAAGTCAGTCCTGAACATGGCTGTGGCCCAATGCAACTATGAACCCAAAGGAAATTCAGCTATCCAGCTTGTCAGAAACAATAAATACTATGTATTGCAAGAGGAAGATTCTGACTGGTGGAAAGTAAGGGATTTGGAAGGGTAAGTATGCCCTGCAGAATGCTTTTGTTCAATGACCATGGTCTTCCACATATCTCATCTTCATAGACAACACTGCAGGCAGTCCTGGTACCTTTCAGGACCTATGTTAGCTTTTAAACATTGCTCTAGAAGCTTAATTGTCTTCTGTACAAGTCCATTTTCATTACCATCCTTGGCTGCCAGGTTGAGTAAGATTTATAACAGTCACTGCCTACTATACTAGCTAAGATAGCATCCAGTGGCCTTAATTTTGATATGTGCCTGAAGAAGGGCTTGTGTACACAGAAGCTATCAATTTTTTTCCAACTATTTAGTTTAAGTGAATAAAAAGATAAAATCTCGCCTCACAAATGTTGCCTCTATTTTATGCACACACTGTCTTTAGACCAACGCCATTACTATTGCATATCAGTGACAGCACAGGAGGCCAGCGAGAACTGCTGAGGCACGAATCACTTATCACTTCAGTCTCTCCCCAGCTTTAGCAGTACTTTTCCACAAAGACAGGGCATGCCTAGCCTGCACAGGGTTTAATTATTCTCTTTGAAGTTCACAAGTGGAAGAATTCCCTTCAGCCATTGAAAATAAGATATTTTTCATTAACATCCAGCTGGGGCAGAAAAGAGCATCTCTTCTCAAGTTATTAAATGAGAAACAGCTTTAGGAGTACACTGGAAACAAAGGCAATGCAACAAACAGGAGCTGCCTGGAAGAGATAAGATTCCTTGTCTGTCTCATGATGGGTAGTAGCTCAGTTTGATTTTAAGTACATGACAGAAATGTGGAAGGGAAGGATTTTGAGCTAGGGGATGCCCAAACTGGTTTGGAACAGAATGAAATTACTTGATCCACTCATAATTCACTGATTAAGTGTACAACTGCAAGAAAACCAACAAATAAAGCAACCTTAACTTAAGGTTAAGTGTCTGCACTTTGTGACTCACAGGATTGGCATACTGTTCTGGATGAAGAAAGCAGCACACAACCCCAGAAACTCAAAGACAATAATAAATTAGTAAGCTTGGACATGTTCTTAAATGCTTTCACTGGACTGTTTATGGCTATGTAAAAACATATGAGACAGGCAGCTCTGCTTATAGAGCCTGAGTAGAAGGCTCTAAGATAAATGAAGGAGCAGAGAGAGATCAAGAAAAAGGGGGGACATTTACAGTTTTTTCTCTGCCTTGAGAAACTGAGACTTTTGCAGTGTTGATTCTGTAAGGACAAGTCACATATATATCATAACAAATCCTTTAAATTCTGCTTGAAAAAAATTGAAGATCTTGTTTTCTTGAGTGTAGTAGGAACAAACATCAGGAGTTACCCGTTTCACCTGTTTTCATACACTCTTAGTCTTTTTCTCGCTCTACTGAGATCTGTGGTAAAGAAACTCTTCCTTTCTGTGTCCATCCATATTCAAGTATACAATTTATTCCCCCTATTTATCCTTCTGATGGGCACAGCATACAGCCCACCTCCGTACAACGATAGATGCCTGTTGGCCCCCATAACTTAGGTCCATCATGCCGTGCTGCCAGCTGCTTTAAGTGGTAGCTCAGCCGTCCGTATTCACTTAGCTTAACTTCTCAGTTGCGTCTGGCATTGTGTCAGGAAGAGTGCTGAGCCTACCTATTGACTTTCTGCATTCGACCTTGGATACTCTGCTGGCACCCATTAGTCACTGGCATCCTTCATCACAGCAACTGAGATGGCATGTAATGAAATTGTTGAACAGCTGCTCCAATCTTCCATATGATGAATCCAATCCCTGAGGAAGAATCCATTTCAGTGACTAGCAATGAGTACTTCATCGAAATGTATTTTTCTAAAACAAATTACTTCTGTGTTTTTCTACATGGTAAGTAAAAGCAGAAACGTTTTAACCATGAGCAGTTCTGTTGGTGGCATTCTAAAAAGTGACTTTTTGATTAATCCCTTTTCCTATTTTAAGTGACCAAATTTAAGATGCAGTCATGTATGATAGCTAAACTGTGAACTGTTTATTTTGCAGGAATGAAGGTTTCATACCAAGCGCTTACTTGAGAAAGTTATCTCTGGATGATGATGAGCCAAGGTGAATCAATATGCAGCCATCCACTGCTTAAATGTTTTCCTCACAACTCTAGTAAAGATTAGGCAGATTAGTTCTGGAATACTTTTCTTTTGAAATAACTTTCTGAGTACTAAGCATAACGTTTGCTGAAAGGTATAGAATCAGATACAATTTTTCTTCTTGACTTATACATTAATGCAAAAAACATCAGCTGAAAATCCTGGTTTCATTTAAATCAATAGGGTTTTGCCACTGACTTCAGTGACCCTGGGATTACAGTCTTTGTACTCTTATTTCAGCATTAAATCAGCCTCACTAGCGCTCTTGTGCCTTTGTGTGTATGTGAGTAGTCCTGTAAAAGGTAAAGGGAATCCAGGTCTGTCAAAGTGGTACATCACACCAATCTTTTCCTTTTTAGTAAGATGACATGAAATTGTAAGCATTAAACGTATGCCTAAGTATTTGAACAAAAATCTGACAGAAACGTAGCAGATTGTGTCATAGTAAACCATACAGGACGAGATTCAGAGGTTTCCTTAAAAAAAACCCTACTCTTACAGTATCCTGTAAAAAGCAGCATAAATAAGAATCATTATTTCTGCACAAGAGGTTATTTTAGGGGCCTCTTTTTCTGCCACATGAACTCCTGTTGTCTGTCACGCTAAGAACATTTATTGGGGAAGTCTAGGGTTGTGCAGTTTTGGAAATCTCCCATGTAAATTTTGAAAAGGTAGATGCAATCTCTTCATGAGGTCGCTAAAGGAATATGTAGTTTCATTGCCTGTTACAGCATGCACAGAGAATATTTGGCTTTCCAACAGATTGCACAGTGGAGGGGAAAGGTTGTATAAGTGTTTACCAAGTCAGAAAAAATCCAGACAATTAAATATGTCTCAACTTTTTGAAATATCCACCTTCAACCATGGCATAACTACTCAAAAAATATATATAGTATGACTTTTAACCCAAGGAAGGTATTTTTCATAACCAGTTTTTCACAGTTTCAGTGTGTTGCTTTGTCTTTGCAGCGAAAACTCCAGGGTCAGTGAACAGACACTGGCAGAAGAGCAGAGTATTGCTAAGCATGAGTGAGTATACAGAATATGTCTTCATGAGAATCAAAAGATTCTTTGGGCAGAGGTTGTCTTTCCACTTTACATGTTCACTATACCTAGAGCAATACATATGGCTGTCATAATAATGATAATAATTATAGATATTGTCATCAGCAACATCACTGCCCACGGACTTCCAAAGGCATGAATGTATTTGTTTTCAGACAAAACAAGGCATTTAGACAAATCAGTCTAGTATGCTAATAGAGGGATGCTTCATAAAAGTGAACTGCTATTAAAAAGGCTTCATTGGAGCTCCTTGAACTGATCTGATATAGGATGTTTGGCTTGTTTCCTCCATTTGGGACCTCTCAGTTTACTTAAATATTATGACAACTATGACAAGGTTAGAGGAGAGTTATGCACCTCCCAGCTTTTCGGGAGACAGCTGTGTCATGGTCTGCGGGAGACAGAGCAAACTGCTCCTGGTAGAGCTCCTGGCAGAGCATTAGAGCAGCAGGATCCTCCTCTAAGGATGTGCTGTAAAAAGTCAGAGTCACAGAGTGGGCCAAGATATTTCAGGAGGAGACCCACTGGATGGATGAGAGGAAGCAGATGGGAACTAGTGGTTTGTCTTTTATCTCATGGCCTAAAATCACACAGGCAGGACAAGTCCCAAGTCTACTCTCTGGCTTTTAAAAGCAGCTTTGAAAATATTTACAATGCCTGGCATTTTTCGTGTCTCTGCTGTGCCTTATTCAGAAATCAGCTTGTGAATAATAAGCCCAATATTTCTCTTTGCAGTTGGTATGCTGGTAATATCTCCCGTGCCCGGTCTGAGCAGCTGCTCCGTCAGAAGGTTGTACATATCCTTTATCGCTTGTATATGAACAACCATGGAAATTTTTCTGTGTCTGTTGTCTTTGCTACACTGTGTAGCTAGAGGATGCTGATGCTCTTCAAATAGCTGTAGTATTACAGAGTGCTAGAAACTCTTGTGCTAACTTGGTATTGATGAACAGATCTCCAAAACTGCCTGGATGCGTTAATGGCTCTTCTACATAAATGAACAAATGCTGCACCTCTAAAATACACCTGGAACAAAGCCACGCTGAGTGCATTTCCCCTCACAGCTCTGCTTTTTGGTTTTAGCTCTAGGCCTGTGTTGTTTGCTCCACTGTGGCTCTTTCTGCAGGTCAGTCTAGAGGAATCCTCTGTGATGGTTTTACAACACACAAACAGGGAGTAAAAGAAGTTCACTCAGACAACCCTGAGCAAACGCAGTGCTATGCCCACTGAGCATTGGCTGGATGCAGCTGACAAGGAGCAGGGATGGATAGCACCGTAGGACTAGTCGTGTGGACCAGTCTTTACAGCATACGACTGCAGAGGGGCATGTCCATGTACCTTTCTGGAGAACACCCAGCCTCAGCCATGCTTTGCACTTGAATGCGCTGTGTAAACAAGCTTTCCTCTTGTGGCTTGCTGCCTTCTCACAGCCATTCTCATTGGTACTCAGCCACTAACAACTTTGATATAACTCAACCCTTTGGGAGCCTTGGCTCAGTGTCCATTCCCTTAGACCTGCACCATAGGTTCAGGGGTGAAATTCAAGTGTGGCAAATCGCTGGAGAAAGGCACTTACGTCCCAGTCCCAAAAGGTGCTGGATACTCCTGACTGCAGTTAACTTTAAGGGGATGTGAAGTTTCCTTTGAACTTCACAGCAATGAACCTTGGCCTGTATGTGAGGTTCTAGAGGTCTTCTTTCCTCCCTGCAATAGTCATTCCTGGCATATTAGAGGTGTAGCTGTTAAATGAACTCTGAAAAACAGAATTTCCAGCCCAGTACAGTAAACCATTAACAGAAGTAGAAGTGGATAGTGAAAGTTAGGACTGGAGTACCACATAAAGACTAAAAATAGTCCAGATATAATAGAGTGCAGTGAAAAATCTTTTTATTTATTCAGTAATTCAGAAATACTTTGGCAATAGAAAATAAATCAGTCTAATGCATTATGTAAAGGAACTAAGGGTGGTGGACAGAGCTCTTATTCAGACAGGATGTATGTGGCAGTGTTACCCCCTCTGGAGCGTACCTGAGGAAGGAGATGGGTTTAACAACTCTCCATCTTCCCAGTTAGAAATCTGTATCTGTGCACCAAAACAAAATTGCAGACTACTTGCTTCATGTCTGGGCTGGGGTGCAACTCACCTAACTTTAAACATTTACAGTGGGATACCACAACCAGTTACCTAGACCCATGTTTTAGTGGAGAGAAATAAATATTTCTAAAGCATAATTCATCTTGTCCTAATGTAGTCTTTAAAGGAGGTCAGATGGGTCATGTCTCCTTCTCTCCTTTGTGGACATTACAGTGTAAAAGCCTAAAGTTCACTGAAATGAATCCCAACCTCATTGTTCCTTGTAAATTTTTTTTTTTTTTAATTAGGGGAAGGAAGGTGCTTTTGTGGTTCGGAATTCTAGCCAAGCAGGAATGTATACTGTGTCTGTATTCAGCAAGGTTCCTGAGTGAGTATCCAAAGAATATGTACCATTTCTATGAGTGTGCTATGGGCATGCTGCTTGGTGTGACTGGTCAACAACAAAATCTCTACATTGTGTTAAAGGTGAACATCAGGCACATTCAGGTCGTATTAGTTATTTGAATTCATACATGACAGTGCCTCCCTGAATGGGGGAGCGGAGGTCCAGAATTGTCTTATCTAAACATAGGCACACGGCAGGCACATAATCTAGGGGAATAGCGGGGTTGAGAGAGAGAGAAGGAAGGAAGGGAAGGGGAAGGGGAAGGGGAAAGGGGAAGGAGAAGGGAAGGCGTTCAAAATGAGATGTAGAACCATTGCAAGGGCAGTATATGAAAGTCTTTTGCTCTAGATGTAACCATTGGGAGACGAGTACTAACCATCAGACTACATTAGAGTGTGCAGCAGAAGTCTCCAAGGTGCGAGGAGCCTGTGCTACATAGCCAGCAGGTGTTAAGAGGGCAAAAGCAGACTGAGGCAAATGTAACAGTCTTCCTGGTGATATCTACTACCTATTTTGTTATTTGCCCAGCAGGAGCGTTGCAGTTCATTCAGCAACTAACCAATCTATTAATGTATGGGCTGGAAGGCACTTTGCAAGGCTTTGACATGTACTGCACTTTGTGATGTTTTTCAGAAGTAAAAAAGGAACAGTCAAACATTACCATGTACACAAAACCCCTGAGAACAAGTATTACCTCTCTGAAAAATATTGTTTTGAATCAATTCCCAAGCTTATACACTACCATCAGCACAACTCAGCCGGTAATCCTATATGCTCTTTCTATTTGATTGGCTTTGGCTTAGGCTTCCGGACTTCTCAGCATTATGGTGAATCTTTTCCAATACTGAATACTCTATTGAAACATCTTTTGGGAGAGTTTGGGTGGAACTTGATCTAATATTTTCACAATCAATACAGTTGTTTTCTTTTGCTGTACAGTGCTTTTTTGGTATTGTACTACCTCTTCTTGCAATACCTCTGCTGGACCAGCCCTTAAGCACAGAAAAATTTCAATCTTGTGAACTGATGCAGCAGCTGCTGAATATTGAATATCTGTCATTACCTGGATGGTTGTAATATAGCAGGGAGAGGGAGGTATTAGTTTCCCTGTATTTTCTTTGATTTCAGAAGACTCATGTATATATTGTGACCTTTAACAGGTTTTCTTTGCAGGTATGGTGACAAGGCTCCGGCATGCAGTGTCTACACAAGTAAATAAAGTTCCATCCACAGCTTCATTAGGAAATGGTATGAAGATAACTTTCCTTTTTGAAACTGGTGTCAGTCTTGGCCACCAAGAATAACCAGAAAATCATGACTGTTACTGCTTTCAGACTTGCAGGAGGTTACAGAATCTTAGTTTGGTGGCCATTTCTGCTTGTCCATGCAGGAGGCAATGTAAAAATTTAGGAAGGATGATCTTTCAGTCAATATCTCCTTCTGTAGTTTCTTCTTGTCCAGTGTAGCATTGAGACTTTATGGTTCTATGAAATAGGGTATCCCTTCCTACAAGTGCATCTAGTCTACATCCAGGCCAACATGAATGCAAAGGCATTTTATATCAACTTTCATGTTGTGCCCTTGTTAAGGCATTTTATGTCAGGTCTTATATCAACTGTGCGAGACCTTGCATGCTTCTTTCCCCAACACATCTGAGCCATGGCCATTCTTTCCCTTTGCCACATTACCTGGCACAGTAATACTTGTTCTCCAATCTCCTCCATGAAAATATATCATCATTTGATGCATAAACCTCTCTCAAATCTACTTATAAAGCTTAAACCTAAGCAGTAGCAAGCAACATTTGTAGGAAGTGTAATCTCCTTCCATAACTCAAACACAAAGCTGAGAGACAGGTATGTTGCTTCACTGCTGCATGGTTCTGTCTGCAACCCTCCAGAGAAAACAACAGCATTGTATATGGGGGATAACATGCTTGCATTTGTCCATTTTTTTTATGCTAAAGGAATTTCTTTTGTCCCACTAGGAATCTGGGAGCTGAAACGAGAAGAAATTGTCCTGTTGAGAGAGCTAGGGAGTGGTCAGTTTGGAGTGGTGCATCTGGGAAAGTGGAAGGGACAATATGATGTGGCCATAAAGATGATTAAAGAGGGAGCGATGTCAGAAGATGAATTCATAGAAGAAGCTCAGACCATGATGTAAGCTATGGCATTGCTTAATTATTTGGAAATAATGATCTCTCCAAACATTAATCAGTAATGTATAGCACACACAGGAAAGAGAATTTCCTCTTAAAAATAGCATTAAGTAGTGTTGAGTACATTAGGCACAAGCTAAATAGTTAGCCATATGGAATATTTGAGGTGTTACCAAAAGAACTTCACAAAGATTGATACTGTCATCTACAAAGTTTTCAATTAACTTATCTTCCACAACTTCAGAGGTTCCACATATGTCACTTAAAACTCTGCTTCATTAGCAGTTACACAGAAACAGTTAGAAAGCTGTTCCTGCCATCCTGCAGGTAGGAATGAGAGACAGATCAACAACTGAGAAATGCCAGAAATATGAACATGAGACTTGAAGTTTTAGTCTCTGACTCTGAAGAGGTAAGGATGTTATAATTTCCAGTGAAATTCCATGAGATGATAAATGAAGCATATGAATTCAAGAATATTTCATATATCTCTTATCCTGAAGGAATGCACTACATTCCTGTCATTTAACTACCTGATATGATCAGGATTCTCAATGTGAAAATTTTGCAACATGGTTTTAGTAGAAAACCTTAAGGTCTAAGGTCCACCCCACCAACTCAGATCTATTTTCTCCCACCATTAAGGTTGCACGTTTGTGCTGCTAAATCCTATTTCAGGTTTTGACTATGAAGTTGTCATTTCATCAATACTGAGTCTTTTGATTGTCATCAATACTGAATTTCAGAGTACTCAGCAGAAGGACACTCAATTCTTCTTGAAAAGGAATATTTGAAATCTGAGATGGGACTGCATCCAGTCTCAATAATTTCTTTCACTATGTTGTATTAATATTTGAAGAACAAAACTTACAGAAATGCACAAGAATCTCCATTTATTTGGTTATTTTTATGTATTTCAGGAAACTTAATCATCCCAAACTTGTTAGACTGTACGGCGTATGCTCAAAATCATATCCCATCTATCTAGTGACGGAATACATGCCTAATGGCTGTTTGCTTAGCTACTTAAGGAGTCATGGGAAGGAACTACAACCCCTTCAGCTTCTGGAAATATGTTACGATGTCTGTGATGCTATGGCATTTCTGGAGAGCTGTCAGTTCATACACAGAGATTTGGTAAGCTGTACTGTGGGAGAAGCAGACCGGGGAAGGCAGGGGGATGGTGTAACACCAGGCAGTCCTGCCCCTCAGGATCAGCCACAGCCCCGCGGGCTCTTTGGCACTCGCCCCAGCAGGCACTGTGGTCCCCTGGACAGGGACACCCCACCGGCTCAACACGAAGCAGCTCTGGGCAAGCAGCGCTAGAGCCATATGTAAATGGCACTGCCCACAAGCTAATTTGCTCTGCTTCAGAGCTGAGCTGACCGGTCTACAGCCCTGCATACTGTGCTGCCTGCAGTTATGGGCTCGAGCCTCAAGGATGTATGTGCCGCTTGGCAGCACAGACATCCAATTGTAAAATTAGTCCACTGAAGTAAAGGGTTCTGTCCAACAACACTGCAGTCCTCCAGGAGAAAGCGGTGCAACATTGAAGATTTGGGTCACTTAGATTGTTTTTTGATGAGTTAGGGATTTATCTAATTGGTAACTACTTCTTTCATAAAACGAGTGTGAACACTACTAGGATAAACTGGAATTTACTCTGGTGCATTGCAAGCAGGAGCAGAACTTGAAAGTCTGCATCTACTTAGCTCTTTTAAAGACATTTATCTGCCAGTTTTCAAGCAAGTATTTCAAGTTGCTTTCGATGAAGGGATCAGACCTTTCAAGGAGTTGGACCGAAAGTTTATGCAAAACTTAGCTTTCAAGTATGCTGGCTTTGGGAAAATAAGCTGTTATTTTATTGGCCTATTAAAACTGAACCTAGCCAAATTTCTGGTGCATTGCACTTCAGAGTCAGTAGCAGTATTTAGCCTTCTAACTCTAGACAAAAATACGTTGGAAGATTTGTAACATTTTATGTCACAGACTTGCTTAATTTTCTAATAGGTGTGCAGTCTCCCCAGGTAGCATTTTAAATGTCTTGTTGATGCTTTCAAAGAATTGTCTTAAGTGTAAACAAAGTTGTTAAAGCCATACCTCACCAATTTTCAAACCCTGATTTGGAAATCAGGAATATCAGACAACTTAAGTAGCAGAGTTTAAGCTGTAAATATAAATATATGGCTGTGCACCACGGGAAAACAGAGAGATAAAACAAGCTTGATTTCAGGTTGAAAACTGTAGATGCAAACTGTATCACAGAAATTAGTAAGCATGCAGGCAGAGAATACAGCCTTAGATAAATGTTCTCAAGTTATCATTTGCAGAACTAGGCTTATACTGAACTTCTCATAAATCAAGCTCTTTAAATCACCTTTCATTGTTCCACTCTGTTTATAGTGCATTGCAAATAAGCCAATCAATGTTTTTCACATTTTGATGCCTCGGTAAATTCTGAGACTACTGAAAAGGACCCTGGAGTGGGACACCACTTGAAAGACAGGGTTTAGTTTCTGGCTCTGTTGCTGTTTCTCTAGGTGAATGTGGGTTTCTCAGCTCTGTTTCCTCGTCCCTCAATGTCCTTATTTGTAAAGCTGTGATAAGGGTAAAGAAAGTTTTTCAATCAATAGTCAAAAAGTTAAATAAGAGAGCTACTTACTGTTCCCTTGCAGTTCCAAACTTAATTGCTTCAATCAAAGAATGTCACTATCTATTGAAATGCTAGAGGACAGAAATTATTGTTAGCAAATTACCAAGACATGACATTATTTGCTCCTCTTTGTATTTTTTCCACTCATCTCTTTTCTCATTTCTCTACTAAAGGCTGCTAGGAACTGTTTGATTGACAGCAATCTTACTGTGAAAATATCTGATTTTGGGATGACTAGGTAAGTAAAACAATTGGGATCCTTGTGAAGCTATGATGTTCGTGTACATATAGTTTACTGGCATCGATCAGCTAGCAACTGGCTGTTCGGAAAGTTAAGCCACAGATACAGCTCTTTGTGTCTCCTTTCCATTAATGACCTGTGGTGGGCTGACCCTGGCTGGGTGCCAGGTGCCCACCAAAGCTGCTCTGTCACTCCCCCCTCAGCTGGACAGGGGAGAGAAAATATAACAAATAGCTTGTGCGTCGAGATAAGGACAGGGAGAGATCACTCACCAATTACCGTCACGGGCAAAACAGACTCGACTTGGGGAAATCAGTTTAGTTTATTAACAATCAAATCAGAGTAGGGTAATGAGAAACAAAACCCGACCTGAGAACGCCTTCCCCCCATCGCTCCCTCCTGCCCACCTCAGCCCCACTCCCGGTTCTCTCTCCCTCCTCCCCCCCAGCGGCGCAGGGGAACAGGGGCTGGGGTCAGTCCGTCATACCTGGTCTCTGCCGCTCCTTCCTCCTCAGGGGGAGGAGGACTCCGCACTCGGTCCCTGCTCTGCCGTGGGGTCCGTCCCTCCCACGGGAGACAGTCCTCCACCAACTTCTCCAAGGTGGGTCCTTCTCATGGGCTGCAGTTCTTCACGAAATCTCAGAGTTTGTGTACAAGATTTTCACCTAATTTGGGGGCCAAACATCTTAATCAGCAGCCTTAATGGAGAGAAGTTGGAGAGGATGAGCAGCCTAGAGAACACATCCTCTGAGAAGAGGCTGAGGCAGCAGGCTGCGTAGTCTGGTGAAGAGGAGGCTAAGAGGGGATCTAAAAGCTGCCTATAGCTACTTACAGTTACAAAGCTGATGGAGCCAAGTAAGTTTTATCAGTGCCAGGTGATATAGCAGTGGATATCGGCCACATACTGCAGGTTGGGAAGTTCAGGCTGGACAGTAAGATGTTTCCCCAGGAGGGTGGTGGAACAGTGAAATATGCGGGTCAGGGAGACTACGAGATTGCAGACGTTGGAGGCTTTTAAGACTTGGCTACACAGAGCCATGGCTGACCTGATCTGATGTTGGGAGTAATCCTATTTGAGCAGGAGGCTGGGCAGCATAGCCTTACAACAGGCATTTCTATGATTCTGCATTATTTCTCTAGTTTGTTAATAGCAATGATCTGTTCTATAGATTATAGCTAATGCCTCTATCAGGTATCCTTTGGAAATTTGGGTTCTGCCCAGGCTTTTCTTAGGAACCCTGTGATGTACAATGAAAAAGCAGTAAATAGTATTTCACTGTAACTCGGTCACAACCGAGTTTGTGTCACAACCAATGCTGGACAGTCCAGGGAGGAGACGTGGTGAGTTAAGAATTCCCTCAGGCTAAATTAAGGTGAAGCAACGCCAAAAAAATCAGTTAAACTTTTTATTCATAGCAGAAGGAACCTGAACTTGGGAGGCATAACAGTAGGTGGTGGGGGTTCTCACAACAGGAATTGGTATGAAACTATGTCAGTAAGCTGCATAACACATGCTAACCATATATATCAATTCAGGGAATAACTGAGTCCCCAGGTTCAGAGCAGACCCCCTTGCTTTCTAGACTCCCTCTCAGAGAAAAGCTGAGGGGTGGCTGGATCTGCTCCTAGTCCCAGACTGTGTCAACAGTTTATGTCTAAAGGGATGAGGTGTGGGGATTATGAAAAAGAAGAAAGAAAGAGGAAAACCAGTCCTGCGTCCAGCATTGGTCCAGCCAGCCTACAGGTCCAGTTTGGGTGGACACGCACGCAGGGCTTCTCGTGTCGGTGTCTTCATAGCCCAGTTCCCACCTTTTCTCATGTCAATCACGCCCCTCTTGGGCTTCTGTGCGCCGCCCGTAAGGATGTATGTCGCTCTCAACTGTGTGCACGGGCACCATTGGGAGTGGGGGCAGTGGGGGACGTGGACATGGACATGGACATGGGACGTGGGACATGGACGTGGGACGTGGGACATGGACGTGGACATGGGATGTGGATGTGGATGTGGGATGTGGACGTGGTCGTGGATGTGGACATGGGCGGGGGGATGTGGACGTGGACATGGACGTGGACATGGGTGGTGGCCATCATGAAGGGTCTCTCAGGTGGCCATGAGCCCCTTCCTCACGTAAACGCTGTGTGACCTCCGGCCGTAGGTGGTGAGCTGCCCCGCTCAGCACAGCGGGACATGGAACCGCGCACCCTCCGGCCCGGTCCAGCCTCCGCGTCCGGTCGCTGGCCGGCTTCTCACCCGCGGTTTGTTGCTCTGCAGCATTCGTTGTTCAGCAGAACTTGCCCCGCCATGATGTTTGAGACATTAACTCTTTCAGCCTCTCACAGTTTGGTTCTTGCCTTGTAGGTATGTTCTGGATGACCTTTATACAAGTTCACTAGGAAGCAAGTTTCCATTGAAGTGGTCAGCACCAGAAGTTTTTCATTACACCAAATTTAGCAGCAAGTCAGATGTATGGGCCTTTGGTATGTATGGAATTTGACATATAAATGTGTATGCATATATGCCATTACCTTTGGTTTTCCTCAACTTCCTAAGCAGAAACGCTAGACATTTACACACTGAAGGAATGTAAAAAGCAGTTGCAGCTTATGTTCTTGTTTAATATTTTTATGCATCCAAGCCCTATCCTCTGGATTTTTCTAGCCCTACTGTTTTTCTTTTAGGCACATAGAAACTCTGTTTGCTCCCCATTTGCTCTATATGTGTTTAACATGGTAAACTAAACTGTTGGTGTAACTAGACCATAAATCAATGCTGCCCAAGTCAAAAAAGCTCTTCTGTTAGTCACAGAGGTCAGAGTGGACTCTGTGCATAAGCCAGCTGTGGAAGAGAGTCTGTGTGAGCTGGGACTGTATCTTAGCAAAAATAAGATGGTTTGCAAGTCACTTTCTACCCAGAAATTTAAATCATTTGAACTTCTACTTCAGTGGTTTTCAAGCTCTGTCCAGTCTTTCTAAAAGTCTGCAAAAGGTGTCAAAGGAAAGGGAACCTTCTGCGAACGGGCTTAAATTCCACTTACATGGGTTTGCTCCTCCAGTAGGAAAGTTTTGGCAGTAGTCAAGTTGATGAAAGATTGGCAACCCACTGTTCTTGACATTGAACCATCATGAATAAAGCAGATGAAAATGTTTCCAAATGCTGGGATTCTTCTTATCTTTAACTTCAGCTATTCTACTAATATTAACTACTCTGGGAGAGAAACAGTTCATTCATGCCCTTTGTAAGTTGTTTATAATATATACGATTACATCAGGAGTTGGATTTTCTGGTGATATGTTTTCTTTTTTATTTTATCAATGAAATGCTGGCTTCAGGCTTTATTGTCGTTAACTTCAATATTGGCTTTAACTTCAATGAGAAACATTGTTTTTCCGTAGAAGGTCTTTTCTCATTTTAACACTATTCGTCAATGCAGTGGAAGCAAGGGGAGAGTGGGATCTGTCAGTGCTTGTTTAGCTGGTTTTTACTAATGAGTCTTTAAAGGGCTAAAGAACTGAACTGATGTATTCATATCCCAAAAGCAGATGTCAGAGAACAAATAATCTTGTTTTTTTAACGTTCTCATCAGGGAAAGCTGGGATTCAGGTACCATTTTATTCTGATCCCACTGTGACACTACAATGCTCCAGTCTTTGAAGCTGGAGGGAAGTCAAAGATCCAATAAATTTCTTTTTGGGAAAAAAAAAAATTAAAAAAATCATTACTGCCAGTATTACATATCATTGTGAAATAAATATTTCACTTTTTTTTTTTTTACTTTATGGTTGGCATAATTATCACATATGTTCAGTTACAACAAAAACTGTTTCTTGCAAAGCTATCATTATGAATTAATGATTATATTATCCAGTGTTTCTATTGTTTCAGTATAATCCAGTTTTTATAGGTATGTGTAGCTGACACTAGAAAGTATTCAGAAACCTTTCTGATACTAAAGGAGTGTATGTCCTACTCTCTTAAAAGAATCAGTAAAAATTTTCTTATTATTCTATAAAAACATAGGTACCTATAGCTGTCATTTTGTTTTTCCTTCCCTGTCTTTGTGTACACACACATACATATATAAGGGGATGTTTGTATGTATTTTGTAAAAAATTTGGTCCACGGATAGCTATGTTTTGTATTTTCTCCATCATTGTCCACACTAAATATATTTTATAACTAGCTTTATGGTCTAACTTTACCTTCTCCAGTAGAAGTTGTTTTATATTTCGGTACAGAATCACACTTGTCAGTCATCTCCATACCTTTTTTTGGACAATACTCTCTGTAAAGAGTCTGATCGGTTATGTGTTGCATGTGTGTCTTGTTCTGGGAAAAAGGAGTTATCTTGCATTTCTTGACTTTCATTTCTTGCCTTCCACTGCCATGAATATTTCTGCAGGTATTTTAATGTGGGAGGTGTTCACTTTGGGAAAGCAGCCCTATGAGCTTTATGATAACATCCAGGTGATTGAGAAAGTTTCTCAAGGATACAGACTTTATAGACCACAGCTGGCTTCAGACATCATCTATCAGATAATGTACAACTGCTGGCATGAGGTATGTATGTCTGCACACACAAACTGGAGAAAACAAAATAACAGGAGTCAGCAGGAGTCCCTGTTGATAGCTGAATTAGTGTTCATAGTGGAAAATATCCCTTATAAAAGCCATTGCTTGTATGTAGTACATTCTATACAGCAGTCTAGTTCAGGACATAGTCAGTACAGAAAACAAGGCATAAAGGAAGATTGGGTCCCTTCCTTTCAGAACCATGTGTTTAAGCAAATAACAGTAAAATTCCTTCAACATCAACATAATACACAAGGTGAGATTCTTCTCAGCAAATTTTAATGGTTTAAAATTTGGGTGGTGAGCTAAGCTGATTGTCTGAATTTCTTCCATGATCAATTACAGGACCATTAGTGGTACCTCTCCATGGTCATTTGTCCTTTCTATCTTAGCCACCACAGAATAAAAGATACCTGCTCTCCTATACAGAGATCTTAAACAGCAAATGTAGATGAGACCTCTACCTTTTTAGATAGCTAAAGTTGTGTGAAATAACCCCACCCTTAGAATGACAGGGATGTGTTACCCCATCTGTGAGTCTTCGAGGAGTTTTAAGTCAAATGCTGATCATGCTCATTTTATTTTGAGAGATCTGCATCTTCTGTGCCAAGAATTATCCTGATTTATTGTTCCTCTTCATCTAGATTTTAGTCAGCTCTTTGCGGACCATGACTTGTTTCTCACGAGCAACAAAGAACTGTTTGGCACATTATTGGTGATACCATGAAGTGACAGTGATGTTTGGGGTTTTTTTTTAATATAATTGTCAGAAAAATTAGAAAAATAACTTATATTTGAGAACATGTTAATGCAAAGAAAGAAGATTAAACTATCACAACATAAGATATAAAAAGTAACTTTAATTTACTTTACCTCATAATCACTGTCTCTACAAATTTCTGCATGCTAAAATAAAGAAAAACTAATGCAAATTACGGTTCCTGAATTATTTCAAAATTAAATAACCATACCCATCATCTTTGCTTCATTTAGCTACCAGAAAAGCGCCCTGCCTTTTATCAGCTCTTATCATTTTTCGAGGCACTGAGAGAAGACAACAGAGCTTGAAAAAGAAGATTCAGAAACAGATGACTATGCATACTGGTTCCATATCACTGGTCTTCTGTACGAGAGCTAAATCTGAAATCTGCCTGACATTAGCCACCCCTATTGTTCTGTATATTGGTGTTCTTCTCATTTAATCAGGGAGTTGACCAAGAAGCGTATGGACAAAGCTTTTGTGACACTCTGTGGGTGACAGAATTTGGAAGGATACTGTGGAAGAATATAATTCATTTTGTTAGCATTGTCTCAAAAGACTTCTCAGACACTGAGAGATATATACCAATTGTGTACACTCCTTCAGTGCTTCCAAGCTGTCATTATTTGGCCCTAACTGGAAATGTAAGCAGGGAAATATATGCTTGTTAGGTTTTCTGATTATCATAACTCATCTGAATGTGGTTTTTCTTTATAATCACTTGAAGCTGATGCCTGAAATCAAATTTAGAACTGCTGCAAGTGACAGCAACATAAATAGTTATAGTCTCGCTTTCAATCGCTTAGAAATTACTACTGCTAAAATATTATATCAGTTTGCTTACCAGTACTATTGACTTCAGTTTCAGCCCTCAGGGTGTACATTTGATTTGGAATTTATTCTAAGCTACATATCTAAGATATTTGCAACTTAGCAACATATGAGGTGTTTACTAGAGTGTTATTGCTTCCTGCTACAGGTAAAAATAGCAAAAAAGTTTTATGCAGAATTCCATAGTCATTGCAATAGTGAATGGTAAATTTGCTGATCTCTATAAAACCTGAAGAGAACTGAAAATGCTATAAATATAATTGCTTAGCCTAATGTTTTACTACTGAGGAACTGGAATTAGGCTCCTGATGTTAACACTTAAATGAGAGTGTTAACTTTCAAATGTGCATAGCACCACACAAATTAGTGCTAACTTCAGTAATTCCAGAGATACCAAATAACATCTGAAGCTACGTAACTATAACAGAGGTGTCTAAACTTAGACACCGACATTTGTAAAACGCTGATCTAATATGTATAAAAGAAAAGGATTTAAAAATAAAGTAAGGTCTGAAAAAAACCCTCTCCTCTCTCCTGATATTTGAGCTAGTTCAGTGTGCGATCCCTCCAAGAGCCCAGGTGACTTCTGCTTACCCTGTCCCTGGTGGAGCTGGCCCAGCCCTAGCAGGGACCCCTCTGCAGCTCCCATCGGAGCTCGCCTGAACCTAACGAGCAAGAAACGCAGGCGCAGACACGTGGGGAGAGGAGAGGAGACAAAAACCAGAGTTCTCTGGCCAGCCAGAGGCTCTGGCGCCTGTGCTTGCCGGCGCTGCCTGGCCCCAGCGCTGGAAGCTGGCTAGCGGAGCGCATCCCCGTCTACGTGGGGAGCTGCGCGTGTTGAAGGGAAAGCAGAATTTGGGGACGTGCAAATGACTGCGGGGATCTACAGGGGCGTGGGAGGCTGCACGTGAGGGAGAGGTAGGACGTGGTATGGTGTTGCCTGTGCATCAAGCTGGGCCGAGGAGCGCTGACCCCGAGAAAGGGTCAGGAAGGAGAGCTGACACAGGGGAAGTCCGAGAGGAAGGTGGAGGGGGTGCTGGGGTAATGCATGCCGTTGATTTTTTTCATATAAATGTTGTCTTTTTATTTCTGCTCTTCCAACATCCCGCTGTATTTTTTTAGTGGCTTTATGTGTTGACAGTTCTGAATGGTGTTTTTTGATTCATAGCACAGCTTTTAAAATTGATCGCTTTGAAATGAACGCCTTGCCTTAACGGAAATGTTAATCTTAACAACAGATCTGAAGATGGCTGGCATGACTAATTACATTATTTGATTGTTTCCAGCTTTGCCATTCCCTTTTTCTGTTCCTGCACAGTAAGTGGGAAGACCACACATAGTTGAATTATTTACCTTAAAAGATCAGCTAACGTACTAAGGTTTGGGGATGTTATGGCAATGGGATATGTGGTGTAGGCAGGCAACTTAAAGAAAAATTATTTTCATTCCTTTACCTTCCTCCCTAGTTTGCAGTTAATCAGTATCATCTGCCTACCATTTTGTACTGTCTCATTTGAGTCTTGTCTCTTAAATAGGAAATGAGTGTGGGGCATTAGGATAGTGCTTTGAGAGCCCACAGAGTCCAGCTGTGTGTTTTCAGATATATGTTTGATTGCTTTCTACAGTTTCTGATCATTCTGGAGGCCCATGAGTTTAGGAGTCTGTGCATTTGCTGAACGTTTTTGATGCAGGCTCGTGTTTGTGCTGGCTCTTTGTCGGAACGCAGGGCTGAGCAGACACCTTGTGCCCTTCGGTCACCCTGGTGCGTACAGAACAACTTCACGGGTATCGCGGCAGGTATGGCACGGGACCTACAAGACAAAGAAATGCTGACTCTGGAAATCATCTAGCCAAACTTCTCACTCCGAGTGGGACTGTCCCCACCAATCGATCAGCCGTACCTTTGTCTACCTGAGCTCTGAAGACTTGTAAAGGTGGAGATCCCACAGCCTCTCCCAGAGCATGGAATAGGCAACCTGTTCCAGTGCTGCACTACCCTCCCTGTGAACAGCTTTTCTTTTTCAGGTGCAACCTGAACCTTGCAAGCCTCAATCTACTGTCCCCTGTATGTAACGGTGCAATTTGTATTTGCAGTATTTGTAATAGTGGAGGCAATGGCTAAGGTACTGAAAAAAAACCCCAAACCTTTGATCATTTAGTATTAAGGAAGTTTATTCCATTTTTAGATGACAACATAACACAGGGTTTTTGGTTTGGTTTGGTTTTTTAGGGAACATGGGCTATTTGGTCTCTACAATACTTATCAAGCAAACAGTTAAAAAAAATAACTTATATTACAACTTCCTAACAAAGTTCCAGTGCTTGTTAGTCTTCATCCAGTATCCATTTTCCATTGATACAGATTTCCTGAAGGTGCAAAATTGGATATTTCATATCAAATTGAGTTCTTCACTAAGGTTCTTCTGGTGGTCAGGTTTTTTTCTCACTGTCTATTAGATACACTTTTGAAGTCTCCATCTGGAAAGATCAGGATGTTCCTCGTGGCCGTTAGGAGTATGTGAGTTATTCTTATGTCTGTCCTGATCTGTATACAACTATATACTTCCAAGATTTTTGTATCTCATTACAGAGGAAACAGAAGTTGGATGCAGCACACTTACGAAAAGCAGCACAAATAGTGTGTAATATTATGTGCATAATTCATAGAAAAGCCACAGGACATATATCTTCAATTTTTGCATGTTTTCTAGTTACCGTATAAACAGCACATTTAGTTGCTGTTGTCTGTGAACCAGTAGATTAATGGTCAACCAGAAGACATTATGTTTGATGACATCCATACTGTTTTGGTCCTTGCTAGGCACTATTGTTAAAAGTGAAATGAAGAAAACCAGAAACCCTTAGTGTACCCACATCTTCTAGAATGATGTTTGTGTCTCTTCAGATGGCTCAAAACCCATATTGCTTTTTCCTTCTTCATCATAAGGGTTCACCTGTTCACAGTTTGATTTTGCTTCACTCCTACTTCCTCTTGCTCTCCTGTAATGAAAATTCATTTTATGTTAGAAGCCCCTGTTTTGTTCCAAGCCCTTCTGGATCCCCAGAATCCCCTGCTGTAAATAATACTGTGTTTAACTGGGAATATTTATATAAAAGGAATTGTATTGGGTTTAAGGGGAACTGCAGCAAACCTACTACATTCTTAGAAACCCATGAATGGAAAGACATAGAAAACCAGCCCAGTTATATTGTTGTTAATGCAGTAATATTTAAGGAAAATTACGTTACTGGACAGCCTCCAACAAGATTATTGAAAACCGCAGGTGCTGATGAATGTGGGCAGCTCTGCTGTTGGAGAAGGCACTGTCTTCCCAACAGGCCACTCCATCCACCTTGCAGCAGGGTTGGCAGAAGCCTGGCCACACCGCAGCCGCCTGCGGCCGCAGCGTCCGGCTGCCTTGGTTAAACCACTGCTGATGGGGATATTGCACTAAGCTGCCAAAGCTGCCATGCATGGAAAGGCAGGGGGCTCAACCTTTAGCTATCGCTGTTGATGGGAGGGCAATAACAAGCTTTAATTCCTTAACTTGCTTCAGTTAAATTTGGCAGCCTGTTTGTAAGCACCCCAATGATTCAATCATCGGGACATCTCCCAGTGGTTGTGGGGATAGTATCAAAAATATTACTCACTTTTTGCGATCTCTCTGCCCAGTGATGATCAAGACAATAACTCCGATGACAACCAGGCTAATGACCACCCCAAATATAATTAACCAGACGGTGACTGGTGGTTCATAAGGTGTGGCCAGGGTTGGAAGTATGCCCACAAACTCCAGCGTGTTATCACCCAGTCTGAAAGCCTCATTGATTCGTCCCCGAGACATCCTGCCATCAAGAGAAAATTCAAAGAGTTTCACATGTTTATTCAAAGGAAATAAACAGCTTTTAGTTGTTTTATAAATCTCCAGTGTGACAAGCTTCCCCTGAACTGCTCAGTTGAAAAGGCTGCGCAGGAGCTGCTGCTAAACCCATATTACTTCTGGCATGGGGTGGTGAGTGACGACCACAGTAACTTAAGCCCTTAACCTGTTGCAGCTTAACTGACATGTGCAGACAGTGTATGCACTCTTAAACTCAGTCTTACCATTGACTGAAATGAGGCAAACAGCCGTCTTATCTCCCTCTCTATTTGCATTTTGCCCCTCATTCTCTTCCCCCTATGTTTCTTGGCTATCCCTAAGTTTCTTGGCTATGTGACAGAAAACCACAGCTTTGACGTCTTCTTACCTGTTTCCCTCATACAGTCTTCCATAGTTTTGATTCTTGTGTTTTTCACTGCCCTGAAAACCCTTTCCCTGGTGTATTTTCTGTGCCTTGTTTTTCCCTGAACTTCTCCTTCCACTATTCAGTGCTAACCGGACAGTGACTTTCATAGCCATGTTCTCCCTTGATTCACCAACTTAATCTCACTGCGTTTTCAACCCCATCTCATGCTGATGCTGCTTTTAGATTTGTGCCCCCCTCATTTCCCACTGTACATTATCCGTGACCATCTGCAGAGCTGCAGTTTTACTTATTTTTACAGCAATGACTTACAGTGGTGTCATACTGTGCTATAAAAGAGCTCTTCATTGACTCGTAAGTGGGAACTAGCTTCTGCTCTGACCTTTTCTATATAATCAAATACATCTGGCTGTCTTTCTAATACATCATTATTCTGGGGTCCTTGCTAACAATAATTCTAGCACTGAATTTTCACTAATGAGAGGAGGAAAACACGTGTGCATGCACACACCATTACTGTGCTCTGTATTGCAGAATATAAGATAGTTCCTGTTAAAGTTTGAGCAATGATAATTCCTGGCAAGGTATGATGCAATTATGTGTGTTATGGCAGTTTTACAAGCCCCCTGAAGCATTTTACATTGGCTGTTGTCCAAGACACCATCAGATAGATGGACTGCTTTCTTTCTGTCATAACAGTTTCTCTCATCCCACTATTTCCACGCTAACTGCAGAACTGACTTTCTTATCCCCCCTTCTGCCTCAGCTGACTTGAGCGCTGCTTTCCCTTCCACCTGGTTGTTTTTTTTTCTTTTTCCCAGAGAGCATAATCTCACCTGATGGCATTTTCCACGTCAGCTTTGGGCACAGTATCACTGATATTACCTGGCATGCTGACAGTAAGGTAGAAGGAGATCCTTTGTGTCTGTTCCCCAACATGAATGTCTGTAATCCTGAATGAGAAACAGAAGAGAAAGGGGGGTTTAATTTTTTTGAGATTACATTAGCTTTAAATTTGGGCAAGTGAACAGTTGTGTTTGATCAGCAATGCCAGGGTTTTAGTTTATGCTGAGTGAATGCTCCCTAGTGACCTCAACTGGGAACTGAAATCAATTTTCCTGACAGAATTTCTTTTTCTATGTGCTAATTCATAACTTCAGATGGAGAGAGTCTATCCTGTTCCTAAGACCATCCTTGGCGTAATTTTCCAAAGCACATAATCAGCTGCAGAACAGAGAGTGTTTGGGGCAGGTCTTATGAATGAGGTCATGTATGAAGTACCAAGTGAAAAAAAAAAAAATCCTTCTTCCTTATATTCTGCTGGGAGTAGATCCTAGACGTTGCATGACTGATGTTCTATAAAGTAGTATCAAATAGCTTAAGCAGATAGCTTCTGAAAATTTTTGAAGATGCCTAATAAAAAGGGTTGTTTTTCTTACCAAAATCAATTTCAGATGATAGATTTTATGCTTGTAAGTGAACCTAGATAAGATTAGTAAGTCTGCGCAGAATTCTAGTGCTTTATAATCGGGTTTATCTTTCCTTGGCCCAAAACCTCTTGGATATTCAGTATCGTACACATACATTGTTAGAAATTGTTATTTCTAATCAAGGTATCTTCCCTGATATTCCCATATAGGCGTCAGGCACAAATTCTCAAGGCTCACTTCCACCACTGATAAGCTGTGGGAGACAAAGCGTTCTGTATCCACTGAAGTTACCTAACTTTAGCATGTTACTGCTAAACGTCAGACTCCTGGGTGAAGAGGAAAGACAGCATGTAACCAAGCTGGCATCTTGCCTTTTACAACCACCTGATGTTTGACATTGTTTGCTATCACCTTGCATTTGACAGAAGGCACAATTAATTCCACCAATTCATGCCACTAGCGAACCAGAAGCAATATAGACGTAGCTGGCACAATTAAGCAAGCCACTCACTGAAAGTTGACTTTCTGTTTCTTCTCCTCTGCAAAGTATTTTCTCATGGCATAGGCGATGGATGACTTGAACAAGAAGAGCTCGCTTTCATCCCATTCATACTGCAAAAACAGCACAAGAGAAATCCATCAGAGATGGCAAGTTATCTGACACTAAGAAATCATTCTAAAAAGAAATAGCAATTGTAATGCCTGGCATGCACTTCAGTATTATTTATTTGTGCCATGATAGCACTCCAGGAACCTCCCCAAACCTTTTAGCTCTGTTAATTTGGGCGCTCTGCAGGAGAATAACCAAGCAGGCATCCCTGCTGCCAGGCACTGCATCATGCTGTCCCTCTGCAATTTCTGGTACCCTGACACGGGGCTGCTGAAGATGCTGCAGCCCCAGCCCATCTCCCTGCGTTACCGGGAGAAAAGGCAGCAGGAGCAACATTATTCCTACTACATATTGTGCATTCCATTTGAAGTCTAAAGATTTCATAGTTTAGATCTTGTTTTAATCACATAATTTTATTTGCAGACCTGTTCTTTTAAGGAGGAGAAACCCTGGGGTGGGGTTGCTGTGTGAAGGTGGCTCATTGATTTGCTTGACGAGCTGGGATTTTTGTTTGGGGTTTGTTTTGTTTTGGTAAAAAACTCTTTGCATCAGTATTTCTGCAGCAGGCATATATTTGTTGGTTTTCCGTGGAGAATAGATAGGTGATACAAAAAAATGCACTGCCTGTGCGCAGGCTCCTCCCGGCCTGCCTTACGAGTCCAAAGTTATTTGCAGTGGAAGTCAAAACCAGCTTCTCTGGGGCAGGAACCGAGAGCTGCACAGGGGGCAAAAACCACCGCGGGAGCTGATAATGCAGCCCGGTCTGTTGTGCAACACTGCGTGTGCGCAAAGGGAAAATTCCCGTTTGAACTCTGTGGCAACTTTTTTTGTCCCCCGAAGGCCTAGATTTGACTGTGTTTATGGTACCCGAGCCGGAATGCCTATAAATGCTGTCAGTGATAGTTTCGCACAGCTCCTGACTTTCTTGAGTATGGCTCAGGAAGGTGTGGTTGGAAGCAGCGCTGTTGTAACGGGCTTTATAAAACCCAGCGACGTTTTTCAGCCCTGTCCTCCTCTCGACACCGATGTAAAACGAAGGGAGAGAAATACCCGGGAGGAAAGAGCCGGCTGTCGCCAATCCGTGCGGGATCAGCCCCCAGGAAACGCGGCGGCGACCCAAAGCCACGGCTGTCGGAGCAGCCCCGTGGCGTGCGGAGGGCCGGGGCTGTGCCAGCTCTGGCTCTTCCCGCTCGCTGGGGTCGAAGCTCCGAGTCAGTCCCGTTTGCCTCGGCAAATGGCCCCGGCTTTGTCCTGCTGGCCGAGGGGCAGGCAAAGCCCTGCGCCGGAGCACCTTCCATCGCGACCGCTGCTGTCTCCGGCAGCTGGCAGTGTTGACCGTCACAGCCGACAATGATGTTGTGGGGGTTTTGCAATTTTTCATTTATCCCAACATCTTTAGGGTCTGCAGTGCTTGCTTTTTTTTTATTTGGTGTTTTTTTTTTTTTTCCTAACCAGGAGCTAATTGAGCTTGATTCCTCTACTGCTGCTTTCTGTACTTAGCATCTTAGCTTTTTAATCATTTATGCGTTTCCGCAGCGTATAGTTTGTCTTTTTCAGTCTAATGTATTCTAATTGCCACTGTGCCTCTCAAGTGCCTTTACAAATACCATTACTGGCTGTGTGGATGGGAAGTACCTGGCTGGCTTCTGATCTGTGTTTGAGTAATGACTACCCACACGCCTTCCCAAGGCATCTCAGAAACCTGCCTTGGTGCTCGCTGCTTTGCTTTCAGACCGAAATGAACTTTGCCAAGTGCCTCTGCTCTGTTATGGTGTGTTCCTTCCAAGATCCCACATGTGACTTGAAAGATGGTGCAAGTCTGGCCCCCGATTCAAAAAGGATTTTCCACTGTAAAATACATCTAAATGCCTGTAGGCTGACAGCTCTCCGTTCCCTAAGGCTGTCTTGTGTGCCAGTCTTTTACAATGTAATCACATGTATGACATTGACCCCGGGGCGAATTTTGAATTGATGTTTGAGGAGGGGTCCCGTGTTCAAGTGGTGGTCAGGGGGGCTGACACTCCTGGAACCCTTTATTTTAAATAAGACCGACCCCAAGCGATTCAGTGGGGGTCTTGCAGCGGTTTCCTTTGGGAGGGCACTTTCATAAAACCCCAGCTGAAGCAAAGCTGTGGGTGTTTCAGCCTCATCAGCTACACCGGTTATCCGGCGATGCTACGGCTGCAGCTTTAATCTCATCAGCCTGAAAACAATTAGCAGGGTAATTGCGGCAGCACATGCTCTGGTACAGCTGGCGTAAGCCCATCCATGAGTCTGGGTGCTTAGTTTGCCAGATCTCTGGGCTATTGAAAGTTCCCTGCTGGTAAGAGCCAGGGTCTGTGTTTGGGAGGTGCAGGACTGCCCCCACTGCCGCCCCAGCGCAGCTCTCCCTCTGCAGAAGAGGGGGGGATCTTTCCCCTTCTGCTCTATCCAATGCTGAAGAGCAGAAATCCAGAAAGATTTGCTGGCATACTCAGAATGCTTTCTGCTGCCCTAACGGTGCAAAGCAGCTCGAAATACATCTTAAACAAACAGTTGCACAGGGTTCCCAGCTTCTGTGCGCTGTGAGCCGCACAAAGCAGCCAAAACATATTGCTCTGTGTGGTTGGGCTGAGATTCCTGCCCGAGGTTCCCCCTGCCTTTTCTCTGTGCCAGCTCATGCATGTACCATTACCCGCTGCTGACATACCAGCATTCAGCCTCATGTCCCCGGGAGCAAAGCATAAGGGAAATTTGTGGGGAGGCAGAAAGCTGCTGAATGGAAAAGTTTCTTGCAAGTTGGTGATGTGGGCTGGTTTTGAGAGGAAAATGCATGGCTGGCTCTTCAGAGCTTAGGAACCTACCGTCCATGCAATAATTCAAATTAAGTAATCTGTATGAGATTGTTTTACAGCTGCTCAATTGCACAACAAAAGACTATGATGGCAAAAGGCAGGCATAAAAATGGTATTAAGCTAAACATTAACCATAATGACTAATAAATATGTTGTAATATGGAACCTTTTCATGCTGTTGGTATCAGTTTTGAATTGTATCTAACTCGACTCAGTGGTCTAGGAAGCAATAAAACTCCAGTGGGGCTTGCATGTGAGAGAGTGATAGAAGCAAAAGCACCAATTCGTATGAAAAATGAGCGCATGGTATTGTGTCCTTGCTAGTCCCATAGGCTCCAACGTGCAGGTCTAAATGACCCTCCTGATGACATACTCGTTCTTGGAAAATTACTAATGTTCTGCAAGGTGAAAATGGCTATTAACAGGAATGAAGTGTCTGCACTTAAGCCTTCTCTGCTGCCTCCGTCAGATTAGCATAAAGAGGCACAGCTAGAATAAGGAACAAATTTTCAGCCTGGGTTGAGCAGATGGGCTAAGCCAATGCTCTGCTTAAAATCTTAAAAGCCATCTTTGGCTTTGCTGAGTTCTTTCAGTTGCTGTAATACATTTTATTGGACCAGCTGGTATAATTGGGGAAAGCAGACAAGCTCTTGGGAATGAAAGCCCTTCTCCTCGTCTGAAACAGAAGCAGCTGCACTGCCCCCCCGCAATCTTAATAACAAAGCTGTCTCTGCATAAGGGTTGGAGGGCAGGGAGGCAGCTGAATATATCAGGGCCTGGAAAGATTGCAGCAGACAGGCAAACAAAAATCTACAAAGGAATGCTGACAGAAGTGTTTCAGTGTGAAACCAAGAGCATCTGAGAATAGAGAGTGGGATTCAACCCCTCTGCTTTAGCCCCACATTTAAATGTAAAGTAGCTGCTCTGATAATAATTTCTGAAGGCAGCCACCATAGCCATGATAATGGAAATTAGAAGAAATTAGGTAGAGGCTTTATTTAGACACATCAGCTCGGCTGGGAAGAATATAGCTGTTTCCAGGTACACAGGTTCTCCTATGCTAACCTTCCAGTCCTGTCCTGTAGCAGGTAAAAAATGATCAGTACCTCCACAGAATAACTCAAGTCATCTAGCTGCGAGGTCTGTCTTAAAGTGGGTGGGATCACTCCCTGGAGAGGTCCCTCCACTAACTGTAGAGGGAATCTTGACCACAAACCCAGATGAGGCATCTTTTATGTGACAACCCTTCACCTGAGCTGATGCCACTCTTCAGACGCAAAGACCAGCTATACCCTGCCTTATTTTCTGAGAGCCATTAGCACAACATCTCTGTTGCCTGAGCAATGGGAACGAGTGCCACAGCGCACACACACTTACCGCCTGGTCCCCCAGCGCTGACTTCAGGCTGATGCGCACTTTGATGGCATTGCCAGAATCTGGTTTAAAAAGAAACAAGGGCCACGTCAGAGCTGCAGCGACAGAAAGGCTGTCCCTGGGAAATGCTGGGATGGCTGGAGTTTCCTTACAGGTTCCCCTGGCCAGCTTGGTGGGACTGATCTTGTTTCCCTTCAGCCAGCTCTGCCGCAAACTTCTGCATCTGGGCTGTCAGTCACCCAAGTCAGGGTTTGTAGTAGACAGAAGGAGCGAGCACATCGGGAGTGCAGCCCTCTGGTCTTCTTTAGACATTTCCCAAAGGAAATGCCTCATTCCCGCCATTGGGAATGAGCAGCTCAGTTGCAGATGTCAGTGTCTGGTTGGGTGAATCCCACCATTAGAGACTGGCACAGCACTGTAAGAGGTACGGTGCCCTCCAGTACTGACAGTGATTACACATCTATATCCTGGGTGGTTCAACACTCAATGTCACAACAATAGGCTGAAAAATGCATTTTACCAAGGTCTCCTCCCTTTGAGCCCCCATCTTTGAATAGCACATGACAGCAAACAAAAGATTAGTAATTCTTCTGTACTGGTTTGCCCCTATGCTCCCACCTCAGGGTCCTCTGGCTCCCAGGACTGGTGGCTCCCAGCCTTGCAGAACAGGCGCACCACTCTCAGGCAAGACCAAGACTACAGTCTTTCTTCCCTGTGCACAGCCATCCCATACTCTTAGAGCTGCCACTACTTAAAAAAGTAATAAACTCTATTTCTGAAAACGGGGGTGAGGCTGTGACAAACCTCGTGATTGCTGACTTCTCCAGCTTTGGCCATGAGGAAGCCAGTCTGCCTTCCCATGAGTAAAACTTACTGCTCAGTGTGTATTTCCCATAACCCTGCTTCCCTAGGGAGAAGAGCCTTCAACAGCTACAAGAGAGAGGGACTTTGCTGGTCAAGGGTTGAGGAATACCAAGTGTCCTTAATTCACCCACAAGCCATACGTACATGGAGCCCAGTCTGTTTTCCAACCAATGTATCTGCCAGAATTGTTTTTTTGCAGCCACTTATATAAAGGTTCGAAGTAGTGGAGCAAGGGTGTTGCATTCATGTATTTCTCTCCTGTTACACTTTCCAGTGCTTGAGTCCAGGGCTTGGATCTGCCTAATTCAAGCAATTGCCTGTGTATGTGGAAGGAGAGGTAATATATGTTATTGCCATGTTCCATCTAGACATCTAGCAAAACAATCTGCAATTGGTATCAAAGTTTTCTTTTTTGCTTCTGAATTCCTTCCTTCCTCCCATCATTCCTATTAATAAAAATAAATTATTTTCTCATTAACAGACAATTAAACCTTTGATGTTTTGATCCTCAGTGGACATAAATTTAGTCAACTTCTCAAAATAAACTGAGTAGATATATGCTAAATTTTCAAGCTAGGTTTATTCTTGATGCAACCTCATTGACTCCAGAAGCTTGCAAGGATGAATTAGGCTTTCTTATAGTCTGATTTATTTGTGAGAAATTTGCTTTGTTACCTCAAATTCCGACCAGCTGCACTGGAGTTGGTAATGTCACATGTGTGAAGAGGGCCGGTATGTTTAGCTGCCTTACAAAGTGCCTCCTGAAACTGGAACTGATAGATGGTGCGGGTATAATACCTAAAGGAAGGGAAGGAGAAGGGAGGCACAGGTTTTGTTAGTCATCTGGCAAGGAAACATGCAAGCCCTTGGCCGTTGGGAAGCTCTGCTCTGTGAGCCGGCGCTCCTGCCTGGGAGGCTGCACCGCAGGGAGAGAGGCCAGCTGATGTTCATAGGCTACGCCAACTCAGATTTAACAAAATGCCAAGACCAAATGCAGCAGAAGAGCCCCAGATCTGTTTGCTGCAACATAAACCAGGAGCAAGTAAGGTTTTTAAGGCCCGACTCTCTGCTCTGGCTGAGCCCTCTAAAACGAGATGGCTGGGACGCGGAGGGACATCCAGAGTTGGTTGCTCCAGGGCTGCGTGTGCATGGCCCGAGTGACAGCGGTACGGGGCATGCTGTCTGCCCAGGAGGCACACACAGATGTGCTCCTGCAGGTTCCATGGCAGCACGAAGCTTCTCTGCTCGGCAAGAAGCTCAGCAGCCTCCTCACTGCTCAGAGATTGCTATGGAGCAGTGCCTGATGTCCACAGAAAAAATTCCACTGACATCAGTGACCTTCGGTCAGGACTTTAAACAAAATAAGGTTGTGACCTGAGACAGTAGGTGGTTTAGGTAGTCGGGGCTTGTTCTGTACCCAAAATGTAAGTCATGAATTAAACACTGAGGTACCTTATGAATGAGTAATCATTGGCCACATGAAACAGCACTGCAGGGTCGCAGTAGGTTTCATCATGAGGGACTGGTTCCACAACACCAACTATTTCTCTCCTGGGGATGAAGGAAAAACACAGCATTTCTGTTAATAGATAATAAGGAAAAATAATCTGACTCTGCTCTTCCTCTGTATTGTCTGATAAGTAAGGACTCCTCTCTCACTTCCAAACAGAAGTCCATCCAGCTCCCAGTAACCCCAAATGACTACTGCTCCACAGCTGGAGACCACAAAGAAGCAGCTGCTTTGAAACTGGTAGTGCAAGGAAGGGATTTGTATGATAGCAGAGTGTGCAGGGAGTAATTAGTGGTATGAAAAAATCTACAAGACACGAGCTTCACACACACACCCCTCATGCCCTGGGCCATCCCAAGTTTGGAGACTAACACTTGTGTTTTTGTGCTGGGTAAGTGCACGCAGAGACTGGGTGACCCAGAAGTTGTATGGCCTGCTGCACCACTGCGCTGGAGATGAGGTTTCTTTTTATTCTCCTCTCCTGAGAGCATGTTTCCTGAGCAGTACTATGGAAACAAATCCACACCCAAAATTCTGAAAATGGTAATAAGTTTACATGGAAATATTTTCCATAAACCTGTATTTCAAGGTCTTGTTCCAGCAGAGAGCTTTGCAGTGCTGCTACAACAGATGTGATAAGCTTCCCTGAACAATTTGTCATTCTCTGTTTCTCTGACATCTCTGCTACTTTTGAATAAATCAAAGCTGACTGATTTTTACAGTGGGTCAGGAGGCTTGCTTATATCAAGTTTTATTATAGATTTTGTTTGCTGATGGAGGCTTGCTGTTTGTGTTCATGTTTTAAAGTGCAGACTCCATTTTCAGTGTGGGGCTTCTTTGGTTTCTTTGCATTTTCTGCCCCCATGATAACCAACCTGGGAAATGACAGACTCCAGTCTGAATCAAACTGCTTTTTAATCTTGAGCTCCCAGGTGCTGAAAATAGATTGGTTGGCGGGCATAATCTGAAAAGGCACCTCTGGATGTTACTTGCCAAGAGAACTGTATTTTCTTGACCAAGGTGCTATCTTAATACATCAGCAAGGAAAGAATCAGTATGGAGTCTTTCAGATAATTTGCCTCCAAAACCACTCCAGAAGGCGGAGGAAACACAAAGCAGAGAAGTGTGCACACGTTTTTGGTAGGCTGAGATCTATACGCTTCTCAGGCTGGCAAGTACAATGAACTTCACTTTCCACTTGTCCTTCAGAAGGTGGGAAGCAAACCAGAGCGTATGCCCGATGAGACTCAGGGAAGGGCTGTACTTAAGCCATGAAGATCTCTTGGGGCACGCGGCGGGGGGACAGCAATGTTGATCCTGGGATCTGGGACACCCTGTGCACAGGCCATGGGCTGTCTTTATCAGAGAAGCTGACATTAGAAATTAGGAGAAAGTCTGCTGAGAGGCAGAGTAAACTGCCTGGGGCTCTACACAGTGCTAACGGGGATACACGGCTTGTGAGACGTTGTCTGCACCAGGTTGGGTGTTTCTAGCCGGCACTCTGCCGGGCTTTGTAGAAACACCCTGAGAGACAGATCCTGCCCTATGGGGGCACAGGCACCTCAGTATGTTGAGTAACTACAAAGAGTTGGTTTTGCAAGTTCATTTGCAAAAAATCCTCTTTGTTTCTCAAACTTACTTCATCTCCCACCACCGCTTCGTCCATTCCTCCTTTGTAATCTCACCCTTAAACACCATCCATCTCCACTTCTCCAGCATGTAAGTAAAAGGCATTGTTCCAACAATCGTTAGCGCTTGTTTGAGCAGAAAGTTGATTTCAGTTTCTGAAGAGAGAAGCAGTTAAGGTAATGGTTATGGTAGCAATTAGTATCTGATTAGACAGCTAAAGTTGCTTCCTTTTACAGCTAATGCTTACATCTGGTTTGAATTACAGATTTTCACTAAGGAAAAAGTGAAATGAAGAATACTGCTGAAAAAACATGAGAAAAGATCACTTAGGTATTGTGTACAGTTTTGTCTCTCTTTCTTTCCCCCCTACCTCTTAAATAACCTAGCCCATTGGCATTTACATTTCATTATCCTCCACTGAAAACCTTCCCAGGCTCTGGGGAATTTTGAGCTGAAGACTTTGGTACATCTCTATCCTTATAAGGTAGTACTCAAAGAAGGCAGACAAGCAGCATTATAATCAGGGCCTAACTACATTGTCCACTCAGTATTCACTTAAGTGGAGATGTAAATCTCAAGGTTTCACTTTCATTTGAACTGCTAAATACGTACCTTGGTAGAGATATGTACGGATTCATGCAACAGAAATTGAAAAGACTATTGGAGGCTCACCTACCTGAACTATGAAGATTTTGGGATGAGTTGTTTAGCACTGAAGGTAATGCAGTGCTAGCTATTTGTTTCTAAATTAAGTAGCAGCATTATAAAGTAGTGATCCCTGCTTCACGATGTGATTTGGGAAAAAAACAGTATTTCTGGTAAGTTAGTGGGGTAAGAACTTCAGAAGCCTCTCGGTCGATCATTCATTTTGCAGACACCATCTTCTGCGACAAAATAAGGCCTGCAAGTGCTTTCACTTAAATATATAATATTTACGCATTTATTTACCTTCATCCTCTTGGAAAGTTGGCTCTAGGAGGTCAAGAGATTTCAAGTGCTGAGGAGTGGCTGCAGAAAGTGACATAATTTCACCCACGGCCTCGTGGAAGCCCTCGTTGGCACCGTCTCTTAGCAGGTAGGGCTGCACGGAGTACGCCATGTCGTACTCGATGTGGCCCATCTCGTGGTGCGCGGTCAAGAAGTCGTCCATGGTCACTTTGGTGCACATCATGATCCTGCGCACCGGAGCGAAGTGTTTGTGGTTAGAGGGAGGGTGGCCCAGCCAGCTGCCGCCCGGTCCCTGCCTGCCGCAACCGCGGGGCAGAGCATCCTCCGGAGCTCGGGAATGCCCCTCGCCCCTCGCAAAACCCGGGCAGCCACATCCTAACATGGGGTGCAGCTCCTCCTGCAAGAGCAAGGCTTGGAGGGCAACTCGGCAAAACGCTTTCAGCAACCTCGAAATTGTGCCTGGAGTCAGAGAAAATTGCCGTTTGTGAGAAGCAGCTGCTCTCCGAAACTTGGTGATAAACTCGCTGTGTGTGTTGGAGTGGGTACCCACCATCAATCTTAGGCAGAGAGTAGTATAAAAAAACCTGTGTGTCAATGACTCCTGCTACTTCATCTGTGTGTAAATCCTATTTAATAACAGGGTTTCCCTTCATCTTCCCCAGACTGCGGAGGTGTGAGGCCGGCGGCTTTCACTAGGGCTCAGCTGGGGACCAGCCTCTTTCCCAGGGTAACTGTGGGGACTGGATTTGCCCCAGGAACTTGCTGTCCCTCTCCTTTCCCAAAGATGGAAGAGATTGATGGATTTTCGTGAAACTGGATATATCTGCTAAAGACAGATGGTGGGCTCTCAGGAGGTTTTCACTTGTGACCAAAGGACCCTATGCCATCGCTGCAGAATGTGCAGGTGTCCACAAATCTCAGTGGTATCCACAAGCACCCGCATTTCTGCTCATTCCTTAAGCCCTAGAACATAGTCATTATTTCTCTAATTGATAAAAATAATAGTCACTTCTCTGCTTAAATTTGAGAGCAGTCCTTAGGTCTTCACAGAAGTTACACAGAAAGGTTTACAGTCCTGCAGGATCCCTGCTCTCTTGTCTTGCTTTCCCCTTTTATTAGCCAGAAAAAAATAATAAATAAGGAAAAATTATAACTTAAACCAGCATGGTGTACGTTTAGTGAAAATATGAATGTTCTAGGAGATGTATAAAAAGGGGTCATAGTAATTGCAGTACCTGTAGTCATTTTTCCCCAGATCCCACGCCGTAGGATGGCAGACAACCTTCCTGTTGTCGGCCGGCTCTGTGAGCATAGAATTATTCCAGAAGCCCTCAGTCATTGCACTGAGGCCGATGGAGGTGAAGAAGGCCTCAGCAGCTTTGAATATTTTCACTGCATCCCATTCCTGAAAGACACAACGCCACCGTTAACCACCGCTTCTGCACGGAGCCTGATCCCGACGTCTGGTTTAACACAGGGCAGCTGACTTCATATTTATCTCCCAGCCACTTCAGAGCAGCACCTGACTTACTGGGAGTAAGACGGCAGTGTCTGCCTTCAGCACTTCTGTAAATTCTGCTGGGAACTGGAATTAAGTGTTTTCCCCACGAACAAAATAGGTTTCTGCACTCAGAGGTTCGGCAGATAGCACCTGACCCAGAGCAGAGAAGCCCTCAATAAAGTTAAGGTAGTGAAGATAAAAAAAGCATTCCTGTCAGTGACACGTCAGATCTGGGATCCGACCTTTCAGCCACTTCAGTCGGGGACAACTCATCTGAGGCAGTGGAGCTGCCCTCCCAGCAGACGAGCAATGAGAGGAAATCGTGGCCAGAACCATAAAACCTGGCAAATGTACCTAGAGGAGTTACTGATCAGATTGTAACTGCATGTTAATGTCCAGAATATTTTTGTCATTCAGCAGTTTTATTATTCTACATAGCAGGAACTCTGCATTTACTGGACTGAGTTTTCACAGAGATTTAGGTGGCAGACAGCTCAGCTGGACGAGAATCCTAAATTGGGCACATCCACCAACAAGGATGAGTCCAGCCTTTGCCCCGAGGCTCTGTAAGTAATGCTTCCCTCCTCACGGTGGTACTTCAATTACACAAATTTATGACTACAAGGGGGTCAGTACTGTGAAATGGAGGTGAGATTAATGCAGACTTGTGCAAACTGCTTATGAATCAAATTTAACTATTCCTTCTCTTGCCAGCATAACATTTGCGTAGAGTGCTCCCTAAGAGAGGAGGGTAGATTTCAGGTGAATAATCACATTTCAGAAATCAAATTCCACCAATCACTTTTTATTTTATACCATGTTCTCTGTCTGCTGAAGGTGCTGTCATGGCTGTTAGCACTACAGATCTCAAGCACAGACCTTATGGTGCTATGCAGTTATCAAAAGATAACAGGCAGCATTGCAGTTTCCTAGCTGTATCCAAATAAAGGAGACTGGCAAAAAAAACCCCGCAATATACAAACTATTTGATTACGGTAATGGTTGGCAAAGGTCATATTTGATACCAGCCAACTCTGTGATTTGATACCAACCAATATGTTAATGGATAGGTGTCTCTGAAGAAAATAGACTTGGAGCCAAGATTAAGCCAGTCAAAGACGGTGGAGAAGAAAGAGAGGAGAATAGCTGAGGGAAAAGGTACAGTGGAAAATGCATGAACACATTAAGGTGAAGAGAAAAAAAGGATGCAGAAAGTAGTGCTTTGCTGGTGGTGTGTCTGTCTTAGGGCAGCTATGGTTTTCTAGAGAGCAGCTGATGTGGTGTATAATTTTTATACCGTCTAGATTTGCTACATAATGCATAAAGGCATGTCCTACCTTTTGAACCATTGCAGAAGTTACATCAATGTTTGGTTTGGCTGGATAGGGAACGGTCAAGGCATACAGATTTGTCCAAAATCTACCCCACATATCACCTTCAAAAAAGAGAGAAACACAGAAATACTTTAAAAGGTTGATTACATATTGTTCAAAAATGCCAGACAGTTCTATAAATTGTGCAGTGTCTGAAATAGGGACTCCTATACATCTAAACAGGTCTGATCCAGATGTGGAGGGGAACAGTTCTGGGAAGTCAGATCAAAGGATCAAAGATCCTTTTATTCCCCAAGATCAGCTATTCTTGTACAATACAGTTTCAGGACTGATCACCTTCCTAAAGGTCTATTCACAACTGAACATCCATGTTGTTCGTCCATGTGATCGCTGCTGCTGTGTTTATGTACATTACAGTTACGGCAGCTTGATGTTGCATGCTTTGAAAGCAAAGTCATGAAATGTGGGAACTTAGGCTAAGATTTAAAAGGAAAAAACGAGTCTCTGAAACTCTCGTTTCTAAGGAAGGCAAGTGCTGCAGAGGGGAGATAAATGTCCTAGCCCAGTGCTGGAGTTCTGAGCTGGGTGCCACCAACTCTGGCAAGGATAAGGACACGTGCCTTCCCTACCTGCCTCTGCTGCTAAGCACCTGTGTCATCCCTGCCAGGGACTTCTTCCCCATTTCTCCTCTCTCCTTCTCTTATCTGTAACCTGTTTGTTAATATCCTGGGTAAACAGGCAGATTACTGTGTTCCCACGTGCCTTGAAGGTGAGTGTCCTGTGTACAAAGCCAGGCTCGCACGACACGGCTGCATTGACATACCCAGCAAGTGAGCAGGGAGGCATCCCGTGGAGCTGATGAGCTCGGGGCCATAGACCTGCTCCAGCCGGTGCCTCACGTAGGCATGCAGCTGCACGTACAGAGGTTTTATCTGGAGGCAGAGGAGGAGAAGGAAACAAATTATTTTCTCTTTGCTCTACACCACTCATCCTTCCTAAACAGGGAGCCTCAGAGGTGTCTCTGACGAAATTCTGCTGGCAAGTAAGCGCACCCCAAACCCGCAGCTGAGCTTTGCCCCCTGCCTTGGGGCTCAAGCACTGAGTCCAGAACCTAGCCCCAGAAGTCCTGCTCAGGTACGAAGGAGGGAGCATGGCTAACTTTAGATGCGGCGTATCAAGGATGCCATCTACCCCATGGGGACCATACCTCCCGCCATGGGCCCTACCTGGAGGACAGGCATGGGTCTGCAGAGCTCCCTCTTTCCCAGCCTTTGGCACAGTGCAGCCCAAGGGGACCAAGCTGGCCCTAGAATGGCTGCAGAGGTAAAAATGGCATGTATGTCTCCCAATGTCTGTTAACCCCATGTAGACTGAGATTAGCCAGTTTAGAGCAGGTCTTGTCTTCCTTCACAACACCGACACCGAAGCCCACCACCACAAAGCACAACCCTGTGGCCCAGGTGAGAGCTTTTTCCTGCCTCTACCTGCTCAAACGTCTTCTCCACATCTTTGACCAGCTGCTCACGGCTGTATTTGTATGCTTCTGGATAGTCTGCTTCATAATTTGCTCTCCAGTAATCTCCGTAGTCAGAATAATCTGTAAAGCGCAGATGCATCACATCAGGACACCACACGTGGCACTGCTCAGGGCTGCAGGAGCAGTGGAGCTCCTTGCTGATCCCAGGCAGACCTGCAGCCTTTCCCGCAAAGCAAAGCGCGAGATGCTCTGGGTCTAGCGGGGAGGAGAGTGCTCCCCTGAGGGTCTGTCCCATGAACGTGCAGGTACGGGAGATCTCCAAGAAATGCAGAAATTGCAGTCATGGTTATCTGCTAATTAGGGTCGTTCCAGCTGGAGATGGAGGCCAAAGGACATCGTCACTCCTGACTGGAGCTCCTGTGGCTATGAGGGAGGGCAGCCTCTGCTCAGGCTGGATACTAAGGGGTTCTCACGGAAGGTATAAGCTGATGGACGTTGAATATGGGCCCCCTTCTCGAGCAACAAAACCACCAGGGCATGCGTAGACACCAGGACTGAAATTCAGCTCCCAGTTCCACTAAGCCTTCCAGTCCACGGAGCTCCATCAAGCCTGGAGCAGAAATGGCTCATAGCTGAGGTTTCTCTCTTACCGGTATGGAGGAAGGTCACAATGACCATTTCTTAATGTTTGTTTTTTTCCTGTCTAACTATTTGGACTATAATTTCTTATTCCTGGTGTCTAGCTCCAGCTTTTTAACCACCTGGCTGCATCTGCTGGTCCAGGTCTACCCAATCTGATCATTCTGGTTAGGGCATAATGCTTATAAATGTAAGACTGCTTGTGGCTAGTGCAAGAACGTCAAGGCTGAACGTCAAGGAGATGTCACCAAGACTCAGCAGCACTCAGAAGCTGTTTAAATTGAGCGTGCTTGCCCATAAGCCACAAGCAGTGCAGTTCTGGGCAAGGCAGTATGTAATGAAGGACACTGATACATTACGGTGTTTGGGGAAGGTGCCAGCAAAGACATCTCCCTTGTGTTCTAGGCTGGTGACAGACCTCTGATCTGGTCAATGGCACCTGTCTGCATTGCCTCTCACTTTGCGACGTGCACACCAAGAGCAAATTAAGCGCAAAACACTGCTCGTCAATGTTTAAAAAAGTATGGGATTTGAATTCCTGTGCAATACTGCGGTATGTTTGTTAATTTCTGGAAGCCAGAAAAAAAGAAAAAAAATTGTGACTTACTATTAAGCTCTGCAACCTCATTTTTAAGTTCAACATACTCTTCGTATAATGGTCTCATCATCCTGCCAACATCAGCTCTCCAGCCTTCCCAGGCCCATAGCCTCTCATGATAATCCGTGCTGTTAGCCATAATAGCGTCCAGACCTGTCAGAAGAAAAAAATAAGTACTAGGCCTTGGAAAAGCAGAATCTCTTTATTTTTCTTTCACAGCAGGCAAATGAGCCAAAGCGAAAGAAATTTCATAAACTAAGAAGAAAACACTGTGTTCGATACACTGAAATATCCTTTTCTGATTTAAGATTTTCCCCTTCTTCTCTTTAAGAGACACAGAGCAGATCACGAGTCCCTTAAATGCTCTCTCTGCATTAGCTTCCCTTAAGTTGGTAGCATGCTTGGGACTGGCCTCAACGCAACGTTGAGTCCAACAAGACTTTGATGACAGGGGAAAAAAACAGACTTTCTGTGACATAGGCAAACCCCAGGTGACAGGCAGGCTGTCGTACAAGCTGAGCAGCCCTCTCCAAATCTTGCCTACTACAAGTAGGAGACAGTATGTCTCGTGGGCAGCAGGCCTGCTGGAGGTCCCTGAACTGCACGGTGCAATTAAATTATGACTAAGCTTTAGACAGCAGGATATAGCTATTGAACCTACAGCCTGGTCTCTTGCAGTCAGGAGCCACCCTTGGGCTTTTTCTTTTTGAACCCCCAGTGTAAAGGACACAGCAGGGGCACTCGTTAGTACCATACCTGGCTCCAGCACCAAACACTCAGACGGTTCACCAATTTTACAGACGGTCCCAGTGCTGTAGATGGTACTCATTGTATTTAGCACAGTGTTCAGCTGCAAGTTAGATGTGAGATAGCCCATTAGAAACCCACTCTGTGCAAAATAACAGCCAATTAGGCTAATTCCTTAAGAGCTTGATTCAACACTTCACCCACCAGCTTAACATTTAAGCTGAGTAGAGATTAATGAAAGAATTTGCCTAAATGCATTGCTGAACCAGGACCTAGCTGGAAAAGACAGATAATCTCCCAAATATGTGACGTAATCTACAGGTCCTTAATATCCAGTCAGACAGAGCTCTGGGTTTAATGAGCACAGACTGTCACGAGAGAGCTATCAATATACAGCAGCAATAAAACAATAAAGTTTAGCAATGTGCTGCCATAAGCGTGGACCCACCTAAACTTTCCAGGTAGGTTGTGGTTTTGAACGGCAGCAAAAAGGGCCCTTCTGCAGATGCTGCCAGGCTGACTGTTGCTTGTGGTTTTTAACATCGCATCACACTGATTGCACAGAGCTGCTTATACTCCATTACACAGAAGTTATGGCTCATGTCTTGGGTCAGCTGAAGGCCAAACGCATCTGAAATCATTCAGCTCTGTCTCAGAAGCCATGCTACATAGCTCTGGTTTTATTTTTTTTTAGTGTTTTCAGGTTTTCATACCTCGAGAAAAACATGCACCACTTTCAGCTTTTCCTTTAGGACTATGTTATTTCTCATTTAAAGCTTTAAATCAGAACTATGTGGAGCTGTCAGTGGGAGGGGTAGTTAATGACTAGCTCTAACTTTATCTCTGTCAGCATTAAAATAAGTGGACGCCCAGGGAAATTTTTGTATCAGTGAAGAATATTTAAATATTCCTATGGAATCCCATCAGACTATACAAAAAGTCACTTTTCAAGCAAGAATCAACAATTTCATCCCCAGAGGCCATTTATCTAGGAAACTGCAAGTGTCTAAACACGGAGGATACTGAAGAAAATACCTCCTCAAGAGAGACAGCATTACCATCAGTGCACTGCTGTGCTCCAAAATAAATATAAGTTTGTATGAACTGTCAGCATTCCCACCAAGGTAATCTGTCTTTCCACAAGGACAACTCATTTGGATCAAACAGGAGATCCAGCCAGTCCGCTGCTTTTCTTGCTCGGTGGTTAACACTGCTGATCTTAGCAGAAAAATCTCAGGATCCTTCTACAATCGGGACTGTAGGATCCCCTATCTCAATGATATGTTTCAATTTGATCTCCAGCAAAAGGAAGCTAATTTAACCCTCAAGTGTTTGGTTATAAATCCCTTTTGCATCTGCATAGCTGCTTACTCCAGTTCCACATACAGTCGTTATCTATATACATGCCTTTTACACAAACTTGTCAATGGAAACGTCAAATCTCATTATGAATGTTGCTAAACCTTGCTGGCCTTCAGCAGCTTTCTGTAGAAGGAGGGCACCAACCCTCCCCACTTTCAGTGCCCGCTGTATAGAAACATCCCCCCTTTTTCACGGTTTGATAACGCAACGCGTGCAGAGAAAGAAAGTCTTCCTCCACCTCCACCCGTCTGACTCACTGAATGTCCTTTCACCCACCTCTTTCTGCTCATTGCCCTGGGTCTGGACTTAGCCGAGCACTCACCACGGGTCCTCTTTTCCTCTTATGACTAATCCGGCCATTTGTGCAAGGACAACTCTGAGGCGTGTGCGTGTTTGAAATTCATTGCACGGATTTCCTGGCCAAACTGCTGACTTGAATGGGAACCAGCTGCCCAAGCCAGACCACCCCTCCAGTCCTGTACTGCTATGAGCGCCTTGTGGAGGGACCCTCTCCACACCGATGCCGGGACACAGCACCATCCTGACACCAGCAGGGTGCCCACAGCACCATGCCATCCCTCGGGGGTGTTGTGGGAAGCAGCTCGACCCACCCCACAAAAAATGAGCTTCATTCAGCAACTTACTCTGTTATATTTTTCCACTGGCAGCACAGATGATCCTTTCTCCTGGAGAGCCTGGATCTGGAGCCTGGTGAGATCATCCTGGATACTGGATAACGGGAAGCTGCTGGCATTCCTGGAGGCCTCGTCATAAAACGCGGACCACTTGGCAGCCGCCTCATTCTGAAAGGGGTTCACAAAAACCCTGAATTACTCCACCAAAAGAGTGCAGCCTGATATACTCAGTGGGCAAAAACATTACTTCTAGGGACAACTTCATTTGCAGAGACCACCTGTGGGTTGCGGCTTGAGCGCTTGCACTGCGCGGTGAAATGGCTGGAGAACTTTTTGGCTTTGTTTCATTCACACATCCAGATAACCATTTTCCTTTGGAAAGAGCAAGACTGGCCCCTCACACCATGCTCGTTATAATTTATCCAGCATCACCTGGCTGTGTTCCCTGCTACTCTAAATCACCACATATTCTTCCCTTAGTGCTTTTCTTTACCCACCTGTGCTTAACAGAAACCAGATGCAAGCCAGGGCACAAGAGGTCTGTGACACATATGTCATTCCCCATTTCTCCTTCAGTAGCACTGATAGACACCAGCCAAGATATTGATATTGAGTCTTTTCATTATGCAAATATCACTTGTTCCTGAAGTTTTGGTAAATAAAAGACTATATTTGGGTATAGGAGGCTTTAAACGGGTGCCTGAATTGGGCGTGCAAAACCTCAATGTTTTGCATGAGGTTGCTTTTTCCACTGCCGCAATTACATACCGTGACACTTGAAACTCCCAAATTTCAGCGCACAAAGTACCACCATAAGAACATTATTTGGATTTGGGACTGTCTTACCTTTTTTTAACGTGTTTGTACGTAGTTTAGCACATCAGCACCCATCCTAACTGGCAACAAGAACAGTACCAATTAACCTGGGTCCTTGGGACAGTTTAATTAATGGTGCTCATGCCGGAACTTGCTGGGTTGTGGAGAGGGCACCTGTAACACCTATCCCTCCCTGCTGAGGCACCAGGAAACACGATGCCACGTGTGCCTGCGGAGCTCTTTGCGTGATGGACCCACTGTACCTGCTTTAGGCTCTGGCAGAGGGAGGCGGTGGCAGATGTAAGCCCTCTGCCATCCCATCCCTCATCTGCCCCTGCCCACGCAGCCCCTCTGCGGGGGGGCAGCCGTCACCAGGAGGTTTTCCAAACTCTTCCCTTCACGGGAGCAGAGCAAACAGCCCTGACACTGCTCAGCGGGGAAGAGTTTGATAAGCACCCAGAGGAGGAGCATCGCTGCGTAAATCTCTTTCCAAACTCCTCATCCTGAGCGGGGACGAAGAGGTGCCTTAGGACCGGCGTGGCAGAAGAGGGGGCTCTTTGGCTACAAAAGCCAGGGGAAAGAAGTTAGATTGCTGTCTGATTTTTCCCCAATTAGAGGAACTGGTTGATAAGTCAGAGGAATAGTTACAGGGTTTGTGGCCCAATTTACAAGGAAAATGGATGGGAAGGAGCCAGAAGGGACAGTATTCATTAACTCTGCTCCTCCAGCAGAAAGGGAGGAGGGGAAGCAGCGGGTTTATTACCAGTGCTACGGAAGAGATCAAGCGAGAGAAAACGTTCTCTCTGAGCACCGGACTAATTGGTTCTTATTGCTGGTATCTCTTCGTGTATTTTATTATCATCTCATTAATGCTGAAAGTACTATATGGGGCTGTCATTTTACGTGTTTGGAAACATTACAGTTTAAGTACCTGGTGCCTCGGAAAACATTCCAGATTGACAATGATTAGTCATTAAGATTTCTTCCAGCAACCGGTCTCCTTGCTTTAATTAAGAAATATGATAATTAAACCATGTTTTAATTAAGCTATAAGACCACAAAGTGGAAGACTTAAACCATTACACAAAAGTAGATGTAGTATGTTCAGCTTCATTTTTATGCTCTGAATTGTTTTTCTCTAAAGCTTGAGTTAACTTTAGAACACACATGGCTACAAAATTCAAGGTGGTTTTGTTCGTTTTGAAACGCTCCAAGGTTACAAGATGCTAGGCTGAGGCATGGCAGTATCCATGACCAGCCAGATTATGGCTGTCTGCTCTTTATAAACACGGTACTTGCCTAGAGACCCCCTTGGCTGGGACAGCTAGAGGTTGGCATTGGGAAGCAGGGAGAACTGTGTTGCAAGATAGCGTAAGTACAAATGCTGTTGTTCTTCCTGCAGATAGAAGCTGACTTTCAAACCAACATACCAGACTACAGATTATACTGCTGGCATTTGGAAATCCATGACCTCACTTCATTTTTTCCCAGTTCAATACCTCCAGGCAGTCTACCAACAGCCCTGACTATGAGAAGATAGGGGACAGGGGGGAAGGTCCCACACTGGGTAAAGGGTGTGGACCACTATATAAAACCATCAGCAAACATTTAATAGAAAGCCTACATGCAGAAAATGTTTGTATATTCAGTGAGAAGTAAAATAATTTCAGCAACAAAGAAGAGAGAGCGTTGTCCGTGTCAGTAAAAAGCCCACTGTTAGTTCAGTCTTAGAAGTGGGAGACCTGAGCTCCTGTAGGTGCGAGATTCTAATCCCATTCCTTCACGCCGCAGGGCAGCACCTAGCCCAGGCCCCGGGAGAAGACCACCCCTCCGAGCTGTGCCGTCCCCAAGAGGAAAGGGACCCCGCACAGAAGCGCCGTGCTGGGAGGCACTGGTGCTGGTGGACCGTGAGCAGGAGAAGCATCCTCTCTCCATCCAGCTCAGATTCTGGGGCCAAACATGCAACGCTCCCTCGCCTTTTCCCTCCGCTCGCCGGGGTGACTCGAGGTGATGGCTAGAGACACGTCCAGCCTCTGGCCATCCCTGTGTGGTGCGAGGGCAGCCCGGGCACCGGCCCGAGGCTGTAGAGGCTGGTGGTGGCCCAGGCACCTCCAGCGAGGCAGCGCTACGTTACAGCAAGCCCCTCTACCCTCCTGGAACTACACCACAGCTACCAAAGAAGTAGCGCTCCAATTTCAGCCAACCACGGTGGAACCAAAATAAACTAGAAAGCACTGTCAGGTTCCTCAAACAACAGTAAAACCAGCAGGACGGAGCACTTACCATTTTCCTGGCATTCTCCTCAGTGATGTTGGTGTTGTAGTTCCATGAGGCAAGGGAGCTCTCATAGCTGATATTTTCTGCCCTCCTGTTAAACTCTTCTAGAAACATTTGGGCTTGTTGTGTGACATCCTGAGGGGTCACCACAGCGCTCAGACCACAGAGAAGCCAGAGGTGGACCAACATATTCGTGTCCGGGCTGAGAACCTCCCAAAGAAGTAGGTTTCCTCAGGTAAACTTCTCTGTCAGGCTGTCTCATCAGCCTTCAAGCATGGCTAGCGTGAAGAAAAAAGGCTGAATCCAATTTGCTGGGCCTTTTATAGGTTTTATCCATTGTAGGAGAGAAAGGAAAAAGTTTTTTATAAAAAGCCAAATAAACAAAAGTCAATGATTAACTTTGGAAAAACATAATTACTCCTGCCATTTTATGGCCTTCTTATAAAAGGCTTTTACTTTTGGTTAATGTTTCCCAAATGTGCTGTCAATGATACAGCTGGTCACTTTATCTATAGCCTGCCCGTGTCTTTGGTAGCTCAGAATCTGTGAATCCTTTAACAGATTGGTGATAAGCTGTAAAAATATTTAGAAACTTCACTGAAACACCAAGCCATGAACCTTAACTCCCAGACACGAAGAAACCCCAGTTAGCCTGACATAGGGTACCTGGTTGGGTGTTTAGGTCCATGTTTTATAAGGCTTTGTAAAGCCCAAGTGATTTGGAGAATATACCTAATTTTCAAAGCAACTGGGGCATATAAAACCAGATTTTTAAATGTGTTCACTGAACTATCAAAAAGTAGCAAGAGACTTCATGGGATCACAGCATCTTGCGTAGAGACTTAACCTGAACTATAAATCAACTGGATTTAAGTACTAAGGTGACTGAGACTACTAAGATGACTCCAGTTTAATATCTAAATACCTTTGCTAATCTAGCTAGGAACCTAGCACTTACTGCAAATCAATGGGAAAATCAATGCATGAATTAGTTCTGGAAATGCAGCTTGGGTTGAGTGTTATCGATCAGACAATACCTTAGTACTTTTAAAATTAGTCTATTTCTGCTCAGCATCACTTGACTGGTTTCAGTTTGGGTTTGCTTGTTTCTTTGTTTCTTCCTGAGACACAGCTCTGCAGCCACATCCATGGGGTTGGTTTCCAGTTCCCGGCAGAGCTTCTCCAAAACCACTATCAGTCTGTCTACATGGGAGCAGCAGCAATCAGCCTCTCCATTGCCAAACCCCAGGAAAGGAGCTCCAGCCCTCCCATCTGCAATGGGCTGAACACAGCACAGCCTCAGCCAAGCCACCAGCAACAGGCGTCCCCAGCAAGCAGAGCCAGAAACCAGGGACCTTGAGGAAGCACCTTGCTTCAATATCTTCTGATACCCATGTCCTGTGGACTAGGGAGAAGTGATCTCTGTCATCCATGCGCAATCCTCTAACAATCTTTTTTTTCAAGGGAAGGCCAACAACGTTCACTCAACCCTTCCCCAGAGGTCACGTTCCCTAAACTGCATGTTACTCTTCTTGGTGCCATCCAGACTCACCGCATTTTGTGCTTCCTCAGCGATGGAGTCAGCTTCTGATCATAACCAAAACCAACGATCAGTAGCGCAATCACTGTCTGCATCTTACATGCTGTACCTTGCTGCTACGCACCTTCTTTCTGGCAACGTTACCCAACATTGACTCATATTCCAGTTGTGAGCCTTCTGGTAGCACTGCTACTTGCTCAGCCATTCCCGTTCTTGTCTCTGTACATCTGGTTCTAGTGTGGCACTAATTAGCGCATTTTGAATTTGTCTGGGCTGAAGCCCATGGCACTGATTTCAGACCATTTTTCCCATTTTTTATGACCATTTGGAATTGTAATCCTTCAAAGGACTCCCAGCTTGGCAAAGCCTACAAACCTGTTAATAGATAGGTTTTGCCTTCCCACATCCAGATCATATACAGCAAGGCCCAGGAGAGCTATCACTTAAAACGGCCCCTCTTCTTGACTGAGAACCATGGAGCCTGTTTTTTAAGTAATTATGTGCCTTTTGTGATTGTTGTCTAGCTCATCATTCCTTAATTTGCCAGTGAGACTGTCACGTGATGAAATGTGGAAAGGTTTTTCTGTTGTTGTTTCATCTGTTGTCTGCCAGAGCAGAGAATTATGTCTATTATTACTTTGATATGATTTCTTCTCCTCCAGTAGAGAACAGGGACTATGTTGACTATTTGCTTTAACTCTTTTCTCTTCTGTGCTGGTAAGTTAACTGCACAATCACTGGACCCCGTACTTTTTAGGGTACTAAAACAGGGCTGAATATTCCAAAATTCCCTTTTTACATGCAGGTGTTGGTTTTTTCCCCCTTCACAGCGCTCTTCCTCAGGGCAGCACTGATAGCTGCCATCTCCTTGCCGTGGTGCAGGAGTCACCGGGGCTCCTCACTCCAGCCTGCGCCTGTCACCCACCCATGCACGGCCCCGAAATCCCGAGGGGAGCCTGCACGACCCAGGGGCCCCCAAGCAGTGGGATACTTAGGGGGTACCTGGAGGGGGGAGAAGGGTGTCACCTCATTTCGTACAGGGAGTGCATCGGCACCTGCATTTAAGTGGGCGTGCAGGCATTGCGGTGAGCTGAAAATGTAACAGGGAGGGTCACACTGAATTATGCTGCAAATTTTCAGCCTTATTTCTAAGCTCTTTTCAATCGCGTACCTAAATGCAATACTTAGTAACATGTGTAAGGAATAATATAAGAATTACATGGCATCTTTCTTGCCATTGCCTTAAAACAAGAGAAAAAACTTTAAGCTGTGAGATGAATTAGCACAAACTTATGTTTTGAAAAACAGCATTACAACAGTGGGGAGCCACTGGGCTCCACGCACATCGTACTTTCATGGATGGATTTGCTCCCATTGAGCAGACACATGGGAGACCACTGGATACAGGCTTGTTTGTGTCAGCCTTACTACCACAGCAGGCTTTCTGCAGCATGACCGGTCTCCGAGCCGAGGGCGGTTTTTGTAGCCTGAGACGGTGACGGCGGGTCTATGGGGAGAGGATGCCAGCCATCCTCGGATGAGCTGGGAGCATTTCTTGGGGTGGACTTCAGGCTGGTCAGGAACGCATGGCAAGAGCATGGAGACAGTTTGTGCCACAGCAAAAAACTGAGAAAGGGAAGTACCTCGAGCCTTTTCAGGAAATCCAAACCTCCAGCAAGGGCAGCAAGGCAGCAGCCATGGGGTTTGGGTGACAGGAGAAGAGCAACTGGGAGGTAAAATCCTGCCTCAATCAAATACATTGTTGTATGCAATGGTGGCCAGCCTGCTTGGCTCGGAGCAAAGACGACTAGTCAGTCTGTTTGCCACCGTTACAGTACAAAGGCTGCGGGTAACCTGACATAACACGGGCTCCTTCTCCTCCGGTGTGTGAGTCCTCCCCTCCACCCCTTGGGTCTACAGCGTGAGCTGTGGCTTCCAGCTCCTACCTGATACTCCCAGTCCAGTAGTCCCCAGGGTCCGAGTTGTCTGACATCTGCTTAAACAGCTGCCCACCAGTGTTCATCTGTACCCTGGCTCTGTTCGAGCAGTTTTCTGCCTCATCACTCGTGTTGTTGGCTGAGCTGTGCTATGAAACTAGGACTGCAATAACAGAGAATTGCATTTAGGGCATGCCTCAATAAGAAACCACTGTGTTGCGTATTGGGCACCACACACCCTTAAAATTGCTTAAAACACCGTTATCGGGCCATTTTTTCCAGGCAGGAGCACTGCTTAAGCTCTCTGCTGCGCTTTGTCGTCCTGCCCAGTGCATAAAAGATGGGCATAAGCATTACTCAGCGACGGATTTGCGGAGGGGGGCTCTGAAGGGCTGTGGCTGCCCGGCCTGGAGCATCCGCAGGGAGGATGAGCTCCATGGGACGGCCACCCCACCGCCTGCGCGGGGCTGCAGCTGCCCCGCTCTCTGCCGCTCCTCCGCCGTTTCCCGAAGAGCGGCTCACATCGGTTAAATACCTGCCAAATCCTTGCTCTGAGGACTCCCCGCAAAGCGGCTTTGTGGAGGCAGTGGGCGGCCCGGGGGTGGCTTCAGCCCCTCCGCACATCGCCCTGATGCGGCCGTAGCGCTCGGAGAGGGGCCGCGCTGCCGCAGCCGCACCTGAGCATCGCTGGGGGGCAAGCCCAGATCTTCCCCCTCTTCCTCGTGCTTCAAACCGGGGGCTGGGCAAATAGTCCTTTTAATCCCCCCGAGCAGCCTTTTTCCCACATGACTAACTCTTCTGCACGCGTGACATCCGCCTTTTCTCGGACGAAACCCCCCCTGCCGGTGCTGGGACCGGGGTGCTGGCTCCCCAGCTCCCCGGCCGCCCTCAGCCCATGCGATGGGGCTGGGAGCCCTCCTGCAAGAGGGGGCTTTCATGGGATCCTCGTGTCCGCTCTCCAGGTGAGGAGCAGAGTTCTGCGGCGGTGAGGAGGACGGACGTCTCTGCTCCTCTGCAGGCAGGCGCAGCCTGTCCTGCTCGACCTCTGAGCCACCCGGGACCAGCTCCCCTGCAAAAGGCACGTACCAGCAGCCAGCCTCGGCTCGGACATCAGCGGTTTGGGCTCGGACATCAGCTGGCTCTTCCTCTGCAGGAGCAAGACAGGGCAGGTCAGCGGCTGGTCGGATTAATTCCCCGTCCCCCAGCAGGAACGGAGGCCAAGGCGGCGAGTGCAGAGCAGAGAGACCCCCCATCCCCTGCCCCACGCTCGGGACCTCTGTCTCGGAGGGGAAGAAGTGAGGGGAGCCGCTACCTGGCTTGTACCCACCTCCTGCAGCTGGATCAACCGCGCAGCCATATCCCGGTGATGTACCGGAGCAGGGAGTGGTTTGCACCCCACCGGCCCAAGGCTGGGGCCAGTGCCTTGGATGACTAATCCGTATCCCTTGAAAACCTTCTGTCCCAAGACAGGCTGCTTCACCCCCTGGATTTCAGACCTAAAGAGAAGCCGTCGCCTCCGCACCACTCCTTTGCACGCCAAGGGAGGCGCAGGCTGGTGGCTGTTGCCCGAGTCAAAGCGTGCTCAGCATCGCCGAGGGGGAAAGTGCCCCATGGGCAGGGGCGAGCCCCAGATCTAAAGACAACAGCAGGACCTGCGTAAAGATGCTGTCAGTTGCCTGAAGCATCAAGAAACCAGTGTTTTTGC